GAAAGGTTGCTTTTGTAAGTACATTAGTCACTTGCCACGTCATTTGGTTCTTCACTAGTGGGGGAGAAAGAATGCTAAACTACGCCGTAGAAACAATATCTAAATAGTTTAAAAATGTGGTCCTTTGATTCTTCTTATAATCCAAACTCATTTGATAATAGAAAATCTTGATACACACACACTGTGACATACATGAAGATTTCACCACCTTATTTATGCATAGATGATTTATGGAATAATGGAGTCAGAACTGGAATGTTTACTGTGTACTTCACAGCAACGCATCTTTATTCGTATACTCACATGTCACATTCCTTCTAAGACAGCCAGTAATCGTGAGCACAACATTGATTCAAACAAGGCATAATGGTCTGATTTATGTCATTGTTTAGAATTCTATCTTGTTTTATTTATTACCCTCTTCTCTTCTAAAATATTAGTCAATATATATTATATATTCTCGACGGTTCATAGCAGACAAAGTGGACTTTTTTTTGTCTCGCAATGATGAAATATCTTCATGACATAAATTTGATAACATTCTCTTTCACCTGCTGCAGACATTACACTTCAATCAAAATTGAGAAGGAGAAGAGAAGAAGATTGGCAGAGAAGTCGCCCTTGCAAGCTACATACTTAATGAAAGATGATCAAACAGATATACATGAAAGACCAATTTAAGATCTTTCCAATAAGTGATTCTGCAGGACACCTGTACTGGCTCCTGCTAGTTTACCATCTCCCCCTACTGGAGAAACCCCATTTGTACTTAAGACACAATCAAACAATGTGCAGTGGACCGTAAGAGACTAATATATAGTCTCTCTACTGTAGATTACTTTATAGATTGCAATTTGCAGCGGGCTGCAGTGTGAAGAGGTTGAACAGCTAAATTGTTGGACAATAAATTTTCAAATGAATTACTTAAAGCTTGGCCCAGTTTTAATGCGATGCAGACTGTTAAACATAAGCCATGGCAACTACTGGGCTCATTTGTATTCCATCGCATGCCTCACATGGGGACCAGGTGGGAGAACGGCTGTTGGGCCACCCAATCACAAAGTGGGTGACTGCAATGCAGTTAAGGAATGAATTACTGATTTCTAATTATTAAAGTTTCCGAAAATTTAAACCTGTTCAACTATAATTATTACGGGAGGGGAGAGGAGGGGATGATGTGGATGCGAAGGTGTGATGTTGCATCCTAAACTCTATTTCAGCATTCCTTTGCTGTAGAATTAATAGTCAAAAGCAATACTTTGTCTCTTAAAGCTTTGCTTTGCCTGCCATGGCAATAGTTCCACGTCCGTGCTGAATCAGGGTTTTTATTTTAAGTGTATTGGTTGTGCATATTTGAAGGTCCATTGAGAAATTAAGTCCCTCATTTGATACAGTCTCCATCGTAGTGAATCCAGGTGCTGTTGCACTGCTAGAGGATTTGAGAGGTACCTTCATGAACTATTGGGAAATAAATGTTAAACACTTGAAGGTTCCCAATCTGTAATATCTGAAACGTAAACATCAATGCGCGCACACACACACACACACACACACACACACACACCTCATACATTTCTTCGAGCATCGCAACAGTTTAACCCATATTTAACGTCAGGGGCTAACAGATAAGTATGTCCTGTGTGCACTTTCCCGACAAATTCTTCCTGCCCGGCCTTACTTCTCTGCAAGGAAAGTGGAAGGAGACATCCTGCCAGACAGCATCACACGTTACCCTGCAGATTGCACTAGTCTGGTGCCTCCATTTTAAAGATTTAAGAAACCCAGCACATAGTCATTTGCTCAGTGGCTCAAGCTTTTGATGGCAAATTGGATATATGTCAGTAGTCAATAAGGATATAATGTGTATAATAATATGTGGAGAGCAGAGGATACAACATGGTCAAATTCCCTGTACGCCTAAAGCCATGAAGGGCCAATAAAGTTGATTCTGAATGTGATTTTGATTTGGATAATCAAAGATACTGGTCATACTGACCAGCAGAGGACAGTGTCCCATAGGGTGGGAACCTGTGAGCACGTTTGAAGGTTGAGGTGTATCCAATAGCTTGTGTACCTGGAGTTAACCTCCAGCACAGTATGGATTTTACTGACAGTTTCAAACCTTGCGAAGAATGCACATGGAATGTGAAATGGAAATGTTTCATCCTCTGGGAAGCCTAATGTGCTCCGCAGGGTTCATGATGGGCTGCCTGCTCGACGTTGATATTTCTGGTGTGCAAGTTAAAATGACTGGGATGCTGGAGGAAAGGTCAGGCATCGAAAACATTAATACTCATCTTCTGAAACATTCATTGTTCAGATACTTTGACATTGAAGGAAACATTTGACCTGATGATGTTGTGAAACCTCTCCAGTGTTTAAAACATAGAAAGAATCACCATTTATTTTGAAATCACTCCTGGAACCTGGAAATCACCTAATTTTACTGTCATTAATAGCTTTTTTGTGTGGGGTCTAACAGCAAAACAGAGGCTCAGCTTCTTTCTTTATTCCTCCCGTCCGTAGGATAAGAGTCAAAAGAACCACCTGGCTCGACTCGTGTTTAAAAATTATGAAAAATGTAATAGCCAACAGAAGCAATACAGACCTGACCAAGCTCTATTCACATAATATTACAATACATCTAATGAACACTTAAAGCCTCTTCATGTAAACATAACATAGCATGCGTTAATATTGTCACCTAATAGCTGGTACACTTTAATAACAACACATCTTCAATCATCACAGTTCATCACATTTTAAACATTATGGTTAATTCTTCTTTCTGGTCCAATAATCAAAATATTTGCCCCGCAGGGCTGTCCTCAATCCTTTTACTCATTATCTACCTGACAGCAGACAAAACTCCCAAAAAAAACTCTTTGGGGAGAAAAGGTGGAAGAAATCGAACAGGAAAGCCCCTTCCCCAGGTTTAAACGTTACATTGTGACAAGATATCATGTGTACAGCAATTAAATAACTTAAATGACTTGGAATTGTGTTTAATTCATATTAAAATTACAATAACTAATATCTAATAACAAACAAACTACAATTCTATCACATCAGCACACCCCCACTAGGTGTGCTCTTCTGCTTAAATCTGTAACAGTCGCAAAAGCTTTATATGTGTGTAAAACACATCCACTTTCTTTGATTAATACAATCTGTCATTACAAATCTGCTATATTTCAGTAAACTGTGTGCATCATTTTATTGTACGTCCAGATATTAATTCAAGTAATTTGTCATGTTTCAAAACAACAGAAAGCTCCCGTTAGTTGACGTAAGGGGTTCTGACCTGGATTAGGAGGGTCCTCCCTCTCTCGCACATACACACGTCACACAGACCATCCTGACATTGTGAATACCTGATGCACCTACGCATGACTCCTTGTTGTCTGTCTCTGAGTCTCATTGATTCACACTATCCTGGTGTACATTTGGCTGAGGCCTTCGGGGTTCCATCCAGCTACCCTTTAAATTAAATAAAGTTCACTCAGGCAGCACAACAACAGACTGCGTTCATGCTCAACTTGATTTTCATGGTATGAATCCACTTTTGAAGTAGAGGAAAAACTCAGATGAGCAAGCATATGTGAAAGACTCAAGGACAAAGTCGGCTAAAAAGAAACCTCAGGTAATGAAAACAACATGAAATAAAACTTGAAGACAGTTTTTCACAAAGGCTGTGGATGACAGCGGAAAATGGCACTTTGTCTCAAAGACAAAGCAGCTTCAATAATTCATATTTCAGTCATTTGAGGGACTTTACTTATTTCTTGTCTCTAAATGCATCAAATATGAAGCCACATGCTCATAAACTCTCCTTCAAAACAGGCTCAACCTGGTTTTAGCTGTTTACAGACACTCAAACGTAGTTTCCCCGTAAGAATCAAACTGTTGCCAGGCTTCAAGCATTAGGCTGATAAAACTGGTCCTATTCTTAAGTTAAACGCACTAAATTTACATTGACGTGAGTTCTCAGTTATGTATCCATCCCAAGTGAAGTTGTAGGAGGCAAATCTAACATTTTATTTTATTTAGTACAAACAATACATTTATTCAAAATATTGCATTAAGCGGCAAGTGTAATATTCTCCTGGATACAAAAAGCACAAGCAGGCTTTTTCCCATCGCTCACATTTTGCAAAGACAGTTTTGCAGAAAACAAAATAGAAAGACCATATACAGGTGTGCTAAAGACAAGCGCTTTGCACTTTAAAGGAACAACGGAGTACTAAATAATGCTGTTGTAGGGTTCATAGTGATGATGAATTTCAGATTTTAGGTGACTACCATGGCATACATGATAAATGTTTTTATTTTATTTAGCTTTTTTTCATTTTGTGAATGGATTTAAACATTTAATCGGATTTACTATACTTGTGTTTGTGCACTTTGAGTTCCTTAAGATTTGTTCCCGGAAAGAAGTAAAACTGTAATGATTACAGGTATAGGGACCCAAAAGCACAACTCCGAGGCAGAACACAATCAAAAGTTCTTTACTGATACGGGCAGGGTCAAAACCGGGATAGTAGTCCAATGGGCAAACAAATCCAGAGGGGCAGGCAGGAAATCCGTAAACGGGGACAGGCAGGGTTCAGAAACAGGATGAAAATCCGACAGGCAAACAAATCCAGAAAGGGCGCAGGCGAAGAGTTCGTGGTCAAGAGAAGGCAGGCTAGGTCAGGACAGGATATTGGTAATCGGAAAAACACTGGAAAACTTGGCATGCACACAAGACAATCTGGCAGGGAACAAACAAATGTGACGGCCTTAAATAGTGAGTGGCTGATGAGGGGATGTGCTTCAGGTGAGGGCAAGGAGAACCAGGTGAGGGTAACGAGCTGATGATGTGGGAGGATCTGAAATGACAGGAGTTAGATAACATGCGTTGAAGATGAAATTAAACATGCAGTGAAGATGAAATTAAACTATGATGTGGTCTGTTGTGTGACAAAAACGTTTGTGCCATCTGATGTAAGTTATCGTCTATGGTTCTTTCACTTCTCAGCTGCCTCAATTTCAGGGAAGTATCTGCTTCCTTGTGCTGAGTCGGACTCTGCCAAGGGCTTTTTTCCAAAGATACAAGCAGGAAGATAGGAGGAAGCAGCAGGAGAGACAGGGAGAGCGTGTACAGCGTTCCTGGAGTGCCTCTAGTGTCCCAGCACTATCTCTGAGAGAGAGAGAGAGAGAGAGAGAGAGAGGGAGAGAATGAGGGTGGGAGGAATAAGGGGTCAGTCCAGGGATTGTCCTTGATGGGAGAGGAACGACTCCTGTATCTGTGTGAGGAATAAGTGTCTGTGTGTGGATGTATGTTTTGTTCGCGTACTGATGTTTCGGGTCATTTTTTACCCTGTGCATCAATCCACTGCCATGAGTCGGACCACCTTTTTTGAGGTAAGTGTGCCGCAGAATGCATTCAAATGAACAGAAACTTTTAATTGCCACTTTCTGATAGGATGCATAAAGTGTTTGCTTGCTCTGCTTTACAAGGCCTCCCTCAAGCATGACAGTCACTGTGAGCAATATTTGCTAGAGAACAAGCGGATTTGGGAAATCGTTTTTACGGTTGCATTATTACTTACGGCGGTTTTAGCCAACAATGTTCAACTTGGTGATTTTTACATCTTACCTGTGCCTGTGCAATTGATATGCTCACACATGCTAACTCTGATCTGATCAGACATTGAGGACAACACATAGAGGGACACCTAGACTGAGAAGCGAACATTGTTACTTTTAATGATATTAGAGCGATTCCTCCGTTCAGATGCCTTTTCAAGATATACAGTATCTGTTGTCTTGTCTTGCAAGGCGAGCAGCCTATTATGGAAGAAGTATACAAGACACTCCGTGCAACAGACCTTTGAATTAAAGTCCATTTACACCATTCTCTGGGATGTGTGCCATGCTCTCATTAAATGTCACAAAAGGCCTGCATGCAAAAGTGGCAAATATTTATATTGTGAGAGTAAAAGATTTTTGTTTCCAAAGCCTGATCCCACTGAATGGATGCCATTCATGTCTTATGCTCTCATCAAACTTTTCAACAAGCAAGAAGGTTTAACATTTAACATTTAAAAATCACCCTCACAAGCAAAGCAAAGGCTCTTCGTTCTGTGTGACCTGTGCTGTTATATGCTGTCAACGGTGCCCTGAGTTCCCAAGGGAGGACAGGGGCGTCAGATAATGAGATTTACAAGGGCACGGAACAACCAAGTGCACAACACACAGCCCTAATGACACCTCCGGAACACACAGATACATCAACATGTGCATACAGAATGCTTTGGGGAAGGTTAGAGGATTGAAAGCAACCCGTCTCCGAGGAGGCCATTTATTGAAACGTCAGCATGCCATGTTCTGATCTGGTAAAAGCATGAACACATACTGTGAAGGGTGAAAAGATCCCACACTTATATTTTGAATCTATAATTGCATGGCAGGGGTTGTTCAGAATCAAGAAATAGTGAAGTGAGTGAATATTGTAAAATAAATCTTGGCACAAGATTAAATTACTTGCCAAATTTGTGTTATTTGCAATGCAAACAGCTGATCGTATAGAGCTCCTTCTCTCCGATCCTCATTCTCTTTTTCTCAACTGTGCACTCAGCAAATCTTTAGGTATCCATTAGCGGGTTATTACACTGTCCAGTTAGGGAACCAATTTAGCTAGGACAGCTCTGCTGAGCTGCACAGTATGGAGTGCTTTCAGGGCAAATTGTGCACCGCCAACCAGCATCCTCCTTGCATATGCTGTACATCACCACTGTCAGGGTCTAATTAAGATGAAAAAGATGTGCGTAAAAGAGCAGCAGGACAACACAAATCCTTTTCTTCTTCCACACTCAAACAGCCTCATCATTCATATCGAGATTACTGTAACTACTTTAGTGGGTAATCAAATTTACTTCCTATGGTTCATATTATATTTCAAAAGGTTTATGATTTTATTTTAAATCCTGCTTGCTTGCTGTCGCAAGAGAAGCAGCCTGAAAAACAGTCAATATGTAGGTTGAAATACTCATTTATATAGATACACATACTTCCAACCTTCCTGTAATGGATAGGCACAATGTTTACAACTGATTCTGAAAGCAGATTGAAGGCACCTCAAGCTTTTATCTGCCTGTGGCTTTGTTACCGAGGTGGCATGCACAGTATACAGATCATCATAGAATTTACCACATTCTGAATTTCCAGTAAACGTATCTGAAGCCTCTACTACCTGTTGTGCTTTACAAAAGAGGTGAATCCTGTGTTTTCTTCAGGTGAAGATCCTGGATGCCAAGACCAAAGAGCAGCTTTGTTTTTTAGATAAGGTATGCTTACACATTGCAACTTTTACGTACTTTTTCTTATGAGGTACCCTAAAGGTTGGAGAGATAATTTACAACAATATCAATTTTGTATCAACTTGCAACTCTTAACAAGGCATATTATATTTATATTAAATTACATTTTCCATCCCCTGATCAATGTTTTCTGACAACATTTCAAATAAATGTGACTTTTGTGGTATTGTTGGAAAACTTTTGGTCTCCACTAGAATTCTGAATAAAACAATTTGGGATGCAATAATTGTTGGCTACACACAGAGTTTGTAATGATTGTACATTTTGGGGGACAACACAACAAAGGTTCTAACTCAATATCTGTTATCGCATTCAGGTGGATCCCCGGTCAACAATAAGAGACATCAAGAGCCTCTTTCACAAAGCATGTGAGTGTTCGTCAATAGTTTCTGCGTCTATTGTATATTTTTCAGGGGGGTTTTCTGCCGTTGTTTTTTTTCTTGATCCCCGATAGCAACAATAAAATATCTTACTTCCCTGATGAACTTGTATAAAACTAACCAGATTTTATAAGTTAGGTCAATATCATATCAATTTTAATTGATGTATTATTGTTGTATTGTTTGTTTGTTGTTTGATATTGCACATAACTCTAAACTACAACTTTAACATGCTTCTTAGATATAACTAACAAACTTGCCAGGATATTGAGTGCATCATCTTGCAATATATATAATACCACATCACCAAAGAGGAGGTCTTTTTAAAAACTATTGCTTAGTTTAGTTTAGTGTGTGTGTGTTTCTGGACAGTAATGTCACCAAATGTTTGCCCGGGCCTGAGGCCATCAGATTCCATCAGAGCAGCAGAGCTCAACATTATTCTGATTAATTATTATTGGGCTCGAGGCCAAAAATCTGTGTGCAATGCCAGCTTTATCCAACCCGTGTGTGTGTGTGTGTGCGTGTGTGTGTGTGTGTGTGTGTGGAGGGGGTGTTTGATCCGCTCAGATCCTCGCTGGTATCCAGCTAGACAGGCCCTGATGCTTGATGCCAGTAAGTTGCTCATTTACTTTATTTGTTGATGATACTGTCGCATAAACACCATTGAAGCATCACTTGGGAATGTTGCTCCAGATTGCAACAATTTAAACTTCATCAGCCAGCCACAAATACTTAAAAAAACAGGTGTTTGATGCTTTGCACAAAATGAAAAGGCGACGTGTTTAACTTGCTGCTCTTTTTGTACAGTAAAGATATGTTTGTAGGCTTTTACTGGTTTCGGCAGATTATGACAATTCTGTGCGAATATGACTACAATGTGCTGTTGTAGCCAAAATGTAGTTCAGCAACATAATTCAGGGATTTTGTTGACAACTTGTCGTGTCTATTTTGTCGCATGACATTTTGTGGCATAATGAGATATGTTCAGCTTCGTACACCTGTGCAGAATAGTTCTGAAGAGAAATGCACGACGAGTAAAAAAGTTACTGAAAATAACTGGATAGTGCATACAATGTAATCTCTGGCCTAATATATAACATCTTGAAACAACCTGAAGGTTATCAATCGATGAATTGAATGTCAGATTTTGAAAGAAAATCAACCAGTCCATGTCCAATAACATTTGCATTGACCTTGACTCAGTGGAATGAAAGCCTTAAAAAGTTCAGCGGGGAACCACTGCCTGTTCTGCCTCACTTTACACTTTCAAAGGCAGACTGCTTAATGATCATACTGTTTCCATTCATTTTAGCCTGATTAATAAAGTAAAGGCAAATGCACACATTGAGTATGTGAAAAGACCTACGATGACGTACAATGGTGCAGGGCTCTGAAAGGACTATGAAGGTTATCTTGTCTATACAAAGCACAGACTGTGGTCAAAAGCCATCTGGGCCAGTTCCCCCATGATGGTATTCTAAAAATGTCATCCAATTAGTTAAATATATTATCAGTGGCCGCGACGGTGTGAGCTGCAGCTACAAAGAACCGGAGCAGAAAAACTGATTACACGTTACAAAAACAATAAATCTTGGCACAATATTAAATGACATGCCAAACTTGTGAGAACGTGTGAGTATAAACCACCATGAACTGCAAACGATCACTTCAATACATACAGTCCTGATGAAATTCAGTTTCCACTGGGTAGCAGAACTATTTATGGACAATATCTGTTAACGTTGAATTTAAAACCTACATATTATTTTTGACAATGCATATTTCTGCTTCCTCTTTAGAGGAAAAATCCCTCCGAGACGAGGAAGTCTTACAGAATCTACCTGTTGGGACAACTGCCACCATGTACTTCACAGATCTTGGTCCTCAGTTGGGTTGGACCGTGGTAAGGAGATTGCACCCAGATAGAACTGTTGTAACAGTACTGAAAAACAAAGAGATACATGTTTGGTGCTACAATATACTTAAAGTCCTCTGACATCATTTTGGGTTAGTTTTGTTCTGTGAGCCGTTTCTAAAGTAGAAAGTGTTGACTTCCTCTCCTCGTGTTTCCAGGTGTTTCTTGCCGAGTGCATTGGGCCACTTCTCATCTACCTCCTCTTCTATTTTCGAGTACCGTACATTTACTCACACAATTATGCCTTTACCTCCAGTCCTCATCCTGTTGTCAGGTCAGTGGAAAAATGAGACACTGACTATTTTACAGGCTGTGAGTTTCCATCTTTGTGTGTTTGAAAAGTAAAGCAGAAAGACAACTAGTCTGGTACATTATCCCAATTGGCCACTTGATGGAGCTTAATGTTTTTCATACACACATGAAAGTGCCGTTATATTTCTCACCTCATTCTCAAATGGCGAAAGAGTGTATTATTTTCAAGTGGACCTATTTTTTTCCATCTGTTACTCTATGATTAGTCATTTACACAATTATTCTCGATATTGTAAAGCTGCAGGTGTGCGTTTATAGTATTCAATTGTTTTCTATCATTTGCAGTAGGGTGCATGTTCTTTGCTGAATCACAAAGGTTTTGTTGCAGCAGCGACCCACTTGTCTTGATCATTTATATTAAATATTTTCTAATTTCAAGTTTGAAATCTGCTACATAAACCATATTCATCCTCACCTCTCTCTTTCTCTCAGAATAGCCTTTGCCTGTCACACCTTCCACTACGTGAAGAGGTTGATAGAGACTATATTTGTGCATCGTTTCTCCCACGGGACCATGCCTCTCAGGACAATCGTCAGGGTGAGGACAGAACTACCCTTGAAAAGACGAGCCTCTGATGACGCGTTCAACTCTTCCTGATAGTAAACTCTTTTCTCTGCCGCACGTAAGCTGTTGTGCTGCTGATTTCAGCCTCTGATACAGGACGCCACTTACAACAGTGCATTGTCCTGGCAAGGATAATTACTATAGGTCTTCTATTGTTAGTCTTAGTAAAAAACAGACATCGAATCAAAGCAAGCACTTTTCAATTTCAGCTGACAAGTTCATTGTAAACCGTGTAATTATTGGTTCTTCATGATCATGTATTCCCCTGTTTGCGTCCTCTTCAGAATTGTGTCTATTACTGGGGTTTCTCAGCTTGGTTGGCCTACTATATCAACCATCCTCTTTACACACCGCCATGTAAGTCACACAAATATACACGCACACAAACTATTTTTGCAGCTTATCAACACCACTCTTCTCTCTTCACAGCATATGGGGAACTACAAATCAACTATGCATTAGTCATATTCGTGGTACGTTTTCACTCTGGACCAACTTAGACCAAGCACACATGGATATCTGACAGTAAGGTGTGAAATGCTTATTTGTGATCCAGATGTGTGAGCTGGGGAACTTCTCCATTCACTTGACTCTTAATAATCTCAAAGGGGAGGGTGAGTTGTTATTTGGTTCTTTTGCACAATTCACCAGGTCAGTGTAGATGCTGTTTGATAAAAATCATTTGCTCAGTACTCCATGTTAACACTGTTTTGAGAAACCCTGAGTGGTAACATGGATCACACGTGTGCCTACAATAAAGTGCAATTGTTATAAAATATAAAACTGGAAACAAAATGAAAGTGTAATTATTCTTTTAATCATACATTTTTCACCGTAACGCATTCTCAGGATCCAGGAGCAGACGGTTTCCTGAGCCAACAAAGAACCCCTTTACATGGCTATTCATCTTTGTATCTTGTCCCAACTACTCATATGAGGTAATGTACTGTATTTTAATTCGTCATGGAACTTAATGTCGACCATATTTGTGTGTTTACTTTTGTGTCTGCCTATTTGATATAGCTGGGAGCTTGGGTGGGCTTTTCCATTATGACCCAGTGTCTGCCAGGTATGTACAGCACATTACGGTCCCTAGATATGAATCCACTTACTGCACCGAAAGTGTTTGTTCTAATACTTCAATGGTTTGTATTCTAGTGGCATTTTATACGTTATTGGGGTTCATTCAGATGACCATCTGGGCCAAAGGGAAGCACAGGGCCTACAGCAGAGAGTTCAAGGACTATCCCACGCTGCGGATGGCTATTATCCCCCTGATTCTCTGACAGAGATCAAAACATGAACTATTGCAGCAAATACCGTGTGTATATTACATACCGTGTGTGCTTTTCACAAAAACAAAGAGGTTTGCTGCTGCTGAGGTCAGCATTTTGAAAGTTTTTGTTTATCTATGAACCGAAAGCAGTGCAAATTGGAGTGATAATATCCTAGCAATATAGTTATAATTATTTAAAGATAGATGTTTGGAACCCATCAAATAAAAAAACCAGTTTCTTCGAGAGTCTGTGTTTATGACTTAACTTTTTTTAATATATTTGTCTCCTTCAGGACTTCATCTTTTTAGCAACACTTATTCAAACATTCTAAACTTCACCAACTCACAGGTCTTTGCTTTTCAAGTGCAAAAGATAACACATCCACTAGCTTGTATTAAAGTGCCTATCCAAGCAAACAAGCAGATAGAAATGTAAAATGTCATTAGAGACTGGAACATTGCTTTTAGGTTAAGCTGACAAAGCCAACATTTAATTATGCAAATATAAGCTTGTCCACCGTAAATCTAAGATTATTTTCAGAGGAAAGTGGAAAAGTGAAACTTCTGTCAATGTATCGAGGGCTTTTTAAATGGTCAGTGATAATTGCTATCAGTGCTTGTCTGGCACTTTCTGTCATATCTCAGGTTTTTATTTAACTGTCAAACGGTGTTTTGTACAGATGAGAATGTGAGTAATCTCAAGCAATTATCCTGTAAAACCAATCGAACAGAATGTCTGGGGAAAAAACATCTTATGAAGAAATGTTACTTTATTTGACATGGTGATCCTCTAAGGAACATCACTTTGGTGCGTTCCTCTTATGATACCAGGTGCTGGTGAATGCAGATAGTTTACCAAAGTTAAGCACGTATGTACTGTAATAAAGCGCAAAGCCTGAACAGACAATGGTGGAAAATAATATCACACAATATTACAATTGTTCCATAGCAGCAAGAGGACCATGTAAAGACCATAAGTTTCATTGCACTAGCAGAAAGTCTTTGTAAGAATAATAATGTTATCTCAATAAAGTGCTAAGGCTTTGCTTCTCCGCGTATTTATTACATCTATCTACAGAAGGCAAAAAAAGATTATCATGCTTGGCATCTGAAGCAAAAAGCACACAGGACCTGTGCCTTCTTCCCATTCCCGTTGAAACCACCAAATATCACTCTTTTGACAGACCGTCAATCAAAGTCATGGTCCTTGTGGTGAATCTCAAGCCGTTTCATTTAGTTTGCAAGGCCTACAAGGTGAGCAGAACGTGGAACATACAGCAGGCACAGAAATGCTCCACACTTTCCAAACACAAAGCCCACTAATTCCATTTCCTGGAAGAGCAAAGCTTTGCCAAAGGTCAAATCATCACATCATGTGTCATGACTCATTTACAGGGCTGCATTCAGAAGCCCAACAACACGCGACCAATTAACAGAGACGGCAAAGATCGATGCAGGTGACAAAAGTGGTCCATCCTCTGTGTTTTTAGGTTCCTGTTTGTTGCATTTGAAAAGTTCTGCCAACTAAGTTACAGCCCTTGAAAGCACACATGCGTCGGGCGCATTCTTTAAACAGAGCGGCTTCTAAAATGAAACGTAAGCCAAAGGAAGACGTCCGGTTGGGCTCATTGAGAGAACTTCACTTCTTCAAAGACTTGAAGCGCGTTTCTTCAATGTATCGCTGTGCTCCGGCAGCTTTTGGATGCAACACGATGTTGTCATCCTCTCTTGACTGTTGCTTGGCGAAATTCACAAAAACCTACAAGTACATTGAAACATTAGGATCAAGCTATGCTAAAACGTTTTTTTTGTTATGACATTTTGTATGAAATACTATGACTTTTTATGTTATTTTATGACTTTTGTATTATATACTTTCTGAAACTAAAATAATTTCTTCAGTTATTTACTCTAGGCCTATTTAAAGTATTTGTTTATCAGTAGATCCTTGAGCACAGAGGGATGTTACATTTCCATTCATAATTTATAATTTCTCATGTTTTACTACTCATTTACCTGGTCAAGGGTCGTCTGTGTGACTGAATAGTCCTCTATCTTGAGCTTCTCTTTGTTAGCCAGGACCATTTGAAAGATCCTCCCCAGGGAGGAGGAGGAGATCTTGTACTGCAGGGTGTTGTAGTGCTTCTCTCTCTGGATGCAGCCTGGGAAGTTGCTCTCCATGAAGGCTTCAGCAGGGTTCAGATCTGGGGCACAGCCGGGCTTAGCTGCTCTGATCTTCATGGTCACCACGTAGCCATCACCAAATCTACGTTAACAGTCATGTGAGACAGATATAACGTATATTTAATTGTTGCATGAATGTTACAGGAAGGTATATATATTTTGAAATTTGATACGCGACATGGGATGATAAATGACTTACTTGTACTTAAGATGCTGAATGGTCCCCAAACACTTAAAGGATCCATTTACCATAATTGCTAAGCGGGTACACAGCGCCTCACATTCCTCCATACTGTCAAAACAGGTGGCAAAATTAGAGCTTGAAGATATGGATGAACATACACCGCCAAACACCCACAGCAGGTAGTTTACCTGTGTGAGGTGAGGACCACAGCTCGTCGATCCTGGATAACACTCATGATGGAGTTCCACAGGAAACGTCTGGAGAGAGGGTCCATACCTGTGGTGGGCTCATCCTAGCACACGGTAACAGTAGCAACCAACCCATTAACCAACACACAGAGACCTCTAGCATCTTTCTCTCACCGTTCCCCATCCTGAATCCCTAGTTCAATCCGTTAATGCGATGGTACTATTCTACTGACATGCAGAACCTACTCAGTGTAATGCTATGTTGAGCTAATACAGTTAGCCAAAGATTTAACGGCTCCCTACACTTATTTTACACACAACACTACGAATCCACGAGCGTGCCTCTCACCAGCAGCACCAGTGCGGGGCAGCCTATCATGGCGATGGCTGTGGAGAGTTTCCTTCTGTTGCCTCCACTGTAGGTTCCGGCGCTTTGTGCTGCATACTCTGACAGCCCCAGCTTCTGGATGGCCCACTCTGCAACCTGAGCAGGAGGAGGATACTGTTAGTGCCCCCTGTTATAATTAGGTCCAATCAGTTGTTTATAGATGGAGATGACACTATGTAGTTAGAAATAAACAGGGTTTATATCGGAACTGACTGCTGCTGATTAAAATGATTGCTAGAATCTCTTCTATGTCCACATTTTGGAATAATTTAAATTATATTGCTGCTTCACTGCCTCAATATGCCCCTCTCTTTAAAAGGCTGAATATGTTTTCAGCCTTTTCAGAATTTGCTACTTTATTCTGCTTGCAATGCAAATAAATGTATCACTTCATTAAATTGCTCTCTCTTTTCCTATTTACATAATCACAAGGAGTGTTCAATGGTGAAGTTAGGCTTGTGGAGGCTTGTGCAGTTTTACAGACAAACTACACATACACTACATCACATTTCAGAAAGCTCTGTACAACTGTTAGGTCCAGTTTAAAGAGTAAAAAACTGCATCTCACCCGGCTGATCTCCAACTCAGGAACTCCACGGAGGCGAGCGTAGAGGTGCAGATGTTCTCTACCTGTCAGCAGCTCATCAATAGCGTCAAACTGTGGGCAGTATCCCATGTTCTGGTGGACGTCCAGGATGTTGGATAGAATGCTGACGATTTAGGGGGAAACACTTGTGGTAAACAGTGAGAACATGTTTGTTAGTTACTATTACTTGATGTATTACTTACCTGTGACCAGCTACTGAGGCCTCTCCTGACGTGACATTAATGTCTCCCGTCAACATTTTAAATGTTGTGGTCTTCCCTGCTCCATTCATCCCCAGGAGACCAAAGCACTGCCGAGGGTTAAGAGAAAACATGATGGATGAAGAATGCAGTGCTTTGTCTGTGGGGTAAATTGCATGAGTTTAAACCACACAAACCTCTCCAGGAGATACTGCGACACAGATTCGGTCCACTGCAGGGGTGATTGTTCCCGAGTACGTCTAGCAGGGCAAGATGAAAACAAAAATAAAAATATGTTTTTGATCATCCATTTAAACATGCCGTTGAACACGTATCACCTTGGAAAGGTCTCGTGCACGTAGAATGTCATTTGTTTTTTCCCTTCTATAGAGTCGTTCTCTTTCCTCCGCCACATCGAGATCTTCTTCAAAAATAGGAGGCTTTGGGCGATCTGATATCCTGCCAATAGAAAGGTTAAAATTCAGTGAATCTACTCCGACTCAGTCTACGAAGCAGTCCCATTAAATTTAGAATGGGTTATCTGGGAATTGTATCACACACAGCAATACGCAAGTGCATTTAGCATTATTTTTTCATAACTCAAGAACTTACCAGTGATACATGAAGAATCGATACTGGAACAAAATGTTAAGCATGAAATATACAAATCCCTGCACAGCCATGCAGAAGAGGTTTTTCCCAATATAATCCCAGTTGTAGGGATCTGGACTGTAGTCCTCACCTGTGAACACATTTACTTTTCAGTCACGCATCCGCTTGATAAGGTTATAAATGTCCAAATCAGTGATTGGAATTGAATTGTAGTATTTCATATTCAGTCCTCTAACTTTCCGGGAAGTATTTTCTCCTTTTTATTAAATCTGTCATAGAGCGTTTGGATCAAAAGTGGAGCTTTGACTGAGCTCTGCGGTTGGCTCGGCCCTTTATTGCATGCGTAAGCATCTGATTTCCAATGCAACCAGGGACCTAACATTCATCCAATGTGTTAGGATGGCGGCGGGCAGTTGGAGGCTGGTATCTGAGGTGTAAAAGTAGCCACGTCTACTTACCAAAGCGAGCATAGATATCAGTGACAGCCTGGTTCATGGCCATGTCTATGAGACCTCGGCCCAGGCAGTAATGAGGGAAGATGAGCAGCAAAGTCTTTAACAGCTGGTTAAGCTTGTACAGAGCCTGGACAGAAATCCAAATCAGGATTATATTGGGGTTATGGGCGATGTATGGGAGATTTACAGAGACAAAACCAATGGTCTTACTGTGGTGCTCTCAAAAAGGTCCAGTATGAAGGTGATGGCACTGCTGTTGATGCCAATGAAGAGGTTGATACATGACAAAGAGACGTAGGCTGTGCTGGGGACACTGAATATGAAGGACATGGGGTACATCATGGGTGTCACAGACCACCTACAAGAAAAATAGATCCAAATGAGCATCGGTTAGACACAATAAATGATACAATATCCGACACCATTGATTCACTACAAAGTGATATACTAGACACACTTTTTTTTGCAAACTGGCTCTGAACCAAAACACTGAGCATTGTGGGAACAGAAAGTTTAATAAATGTTGTATTACCTCATTCCAAAAATCTGCCAGTTCTTGTGCAATCAATTCAAGCATTCGGCTTAAAATTTAATTTAAATGGAGAGATCATTTGATTGTAATTTTGTTGTTATTCCAAATGGATCAAACTCAATAAATCTAACAGAAGAAAATGCTGGAGCTAACAGACATTTAATTATGTTCCTTTTCTACATGACAACAATACTGCATATTTGGTCAACATATGCAGTATTCTCACATTTCTTAGTTACTGCAACGTTTATTGGCAGTGTGAATTCAAAAGCAAGGTATGGATCATTTTATTTAGCTTCATTGTATATATATTTTTTTTTAGATTAAAAAAAGTTACAGTTGGAACTTTAGAAAGAAAAAAACGTACCCATAAAGCATTAGCAGGGAAATAAGTGGTTGGAGGTTGGTTGGAGAGGTGTAGCACTTCTTATCAAAAAAGATGAATATTTCCACCACCAACGCTGCACTGATGGAGTAATTCAACTGGAGAAACAACAATAAAAACAATACTCATGTAGAGCAGGAACCCCATTGATATTTGGCTGTCGCTACCTGTGTTGTTCTAATAAACATGATCATTTCATGAAATAGGGTTACTGTACCATGTCCCAGAGAAAGTTGGCCATCCAGTAAACCAATGGACTGACGCCACTGACAAACTGCAGGTGTTTGGCCTGGGTTACCCTCTCCTGAATCAAATAGAGGACAAAGCTGGCAGGAACGAAGGACATGGCAAAGATGACACAGATGGCCACCACTGCATCCACTGAGGTAGTCAGGCTGGGGAAAGCACAGAGGAACACTTTGAAAAAGCTGACTGGATCACTAGAAGCAGATAGTGTCACACATTGGTGACGCTACTACTCCTTGTTAAGAAATGTAATTATAGATACGTGACACGCCATTGCTCACTCACATAGTGATCTCAGACAGCTGCTCTTTGGTGAGGTTGAGAGGATGGTTAATGGCAGTTATTCCATATTCGTCCAGGTTAGCTCGTTTGGGCAGGTTTGCACGGAGGATGGCGTTGTTGGCGACGTTCATGAAAGAAACCATGGCATGCCAGCCCTTATTGTTGTACCAAACCTGTCAAAAGATTAATGTAGAGTGTAATAACTTACACGTGTGACATATTAGGTGTAGCATTCACTTGTGAGGAAATGATAAACAGTAAATGATGTAGATGGATCACAGTGTTGAAGGTTTTATCCTGATGGTGAGGCTTTATTGGACGGACCTTGACACTGTCTTGAGTCTCCATGTACCTGAGGAATGTCCCTACGTCTTTCAGGGTTTGTTTGGAGCAATTGCCCTGCAACCAACAATTGAAGGCCCAATTACAAAAATAAATTACAGAGACGACAGGTGACGAAGTTTGCATTTTAACGCCATACCCCAGTAATATTGAGCAGTTGTCCCAGCTGTGCTGCTACATCCTGGATGGTCTTTGGCTGCAGCTCTAAAAGAGGAAGCTGTCCTCCCACCGATATACCTCCGTACCTGGACATCACAGAGAAAACCCTGGTAAAAACCGCCATTCAAGCCAAAGATGTACTAGACCATAACAACCAGCGGAGGGAGAACTGTACCACTACGCATAACTTATCCTCCATGTAATACATCTTTGACTGGTACTGTACTTCAAAATGCTCATAAGATATCCTTATTTGGACATAATTGTGAACCAACAAAAATAAGTTATGAAATGAAAGAAAAATTACCTTTGTTCGTTCACCCAATATTTGCTCTTCAAGCTGCAAGAGATTTATTTCAATTTAAGAAAAATGTTTAAACTTTCACATGAACAACATGCACTTTTTTGTTACTCATGTACACATCTTGTATAATCTTGTAATACTTTTTTATGTATTACAAATGTAGTTATTCCGTTTAATTCAAATAGGATTTTCGCAACATTCTAGAGTTTAGATCAAAATAGAGGACAGAATCCAAGTAAATCAATGATTTTAGATAAAGTATCTCAGTTTGCATTGAATTTTCACCTTTATGGACAAGAGAGTAATTGTTTCTTTTAAATTGGTGCACAGAATCTCATACCTTGTTCGGATGAGGCTGGGGTAGGTCTTCACTAGGTAGTCAGAGATGTTTCTGCCTGTTAGGTCCATGAGAACATCTCCTGTTGACTGGATCCTCTAATACACAAAATGACCCACAGTCTATATGTAATACGAGAAAGTCATCCGCAACGGTGGACCCCCAAATGTGTGATTTCAGATATAGAGGCCAATGCACAGTTAACAAAACTTTTGTGGTGCATCGTGAGGTGGGTGTGTGTGTGTACATTTACAGGCTGTTTTCAACATTAGTGAGCCAACCACCTACCTGTGGAGGTGGCAAACCCCCAGCTCCTGCAGGACACACAGGGAGCATGGTGAGTTTCCTGGGTGTACTGCACTGACAGTCTGGAGAGGGTTGGAGGAGGTTCCATTTTGGGCCGGCGAGCATATCTATAAGGGCAGGATTTACTAGGGGCATCTCCCACTCCGTGGTAATGTTGTTACATGGGAAATCTCTGCCAGTGGGAGAAAACAAACTGATATGGTTGAACAAGACAGCGCAAATAATAGTCTGGGTAAAAAGTTTTCTGAAATTTGGCAAGAGCACTCACTCCATGGGTTCATCGACCATGCAACGAGTCCCAAAGCCAGGCTTGTCCAACAGCACTTCCCCAAAGTATCTCATCTGAGGATCCATGGGACGCTCATTACTGCAACGGACAATAGGACAATATATATATATGGAAACATTTGTGTATACTTTAATATAAAATAGTAAAATGATCTAATTAAAATTGAATAGTGCTATGTGAAATCTTGTATATCATCTCTACCTGAAGAAGGTGTACTGTCTCCCGTACATCCAGGGACTGAGGGTGAGACTTTGATACTCTCCAAAAGGTGGAACGATTAGCGTGAAGGTCAGCGCCAGGAAAACGAAACTGGCTGGCAGCACAATCTACCAACAACAGTTACATAACTGCCGTTTAAAAACCTAACAACAATATAACTCTATTTAAGGTGAAGCCTCTGGTAATAGTTGGATATCAACTCAAACTGAATTGCAATATAATACGGCAAGAAACTCTGTTCATACCCCATTACCAGCATTTAATCTAATTCTGGTCAATTTCCAACATTGCACAAAGCAACCCCTAAAATATAAAACACAATTAAGATTACTGAGAGTGCTGCATCAGAGTGTGGTTTGATTAACTGTGGTAAGGTCACCTGGGCAAAGAAGTCTTTGTAGGAGCGCGTTGCGTGATGCAACCGCTTGATCAGCAGAGCGAAGAACTGTTTGATGGTGAGACACAGCCCTCTGACCTGGTGGGATCCCCTGCCTGCAGTGCCTTCTGGGACGTCACACGGGCCGTTGCCATTGGTTTGCAAAGCCCCATCTGTCTCTGAAATATAGCTCTCAAGTCAGGTTGCAAAGTCTCACTTGTGTGCATGCTGTATTAAAGAGGCCAGCCGGCAAGCCAAGCACGTCTTCTTTGAGCTGTGATCAAAAAGCGTTTACTAGCTGTGTTCTTCTAGCCTCAGGGATGGAGTTCATCATCCTATTGTGTTACTAGCGTGCCAGTGAAAGCTCTGGAACAATGTATATATACTGACGATGAATGAAACCTATAACTGCATTACACTGTTGGCCAAACAGGTTTTGAGGAAAGAATTAAAGAATGTTTGAAGCAAATGTTTGACATCTCAGGAAGTTTGCTGTGGGTTGGATGGAAAGATCGATCTATTTTTACAATAGATATGAAGCTAGTGCCAGCAGCCGATTATCTAAGCTTAGACTAAAGAACCAGGAAACAAGGAACTAAAAGCTAGACTTGATCTTGTTATATTGAGTTTAAATCCATTCAACAACAACTTTAGGGATTGGGATTAGGGAGAGCACTATGAAGCTAACCAGCAGCTGGCTGTAGCCTCATATTCACTGTCTCATTCATAGACTTAGTGAGCGGAATCACTCTTCTTATCTAATGCACATGGAGGTTGAATGGTTTCATTTTATCATACATAGTCATCTGTAAACTATTTTAAATGAGAGAAATCGTTTTCCCCACAAAAGCAACATTTGTCCAGAGCTGTCAGCTGAAAGCTGCATGTCACCTTTTGGTGGCTCCATGTCAACGGTCACTGTGTTGAATCCACAAAGACTAGTTCGCCAGATCTGACGCAATGATTTCTGGTCTAAAAAAGTTACAGAATGGAAAACACAGGATGTAGTTCACATTAAAGGGCTACGGGAGCTAAAACTGAACAGACAAAATTAGCAGGACGAGAAAGGAAACTTGTTAGTGTATTTTACCTGGTATGCATTTCCTGTTAGTTGAGTTGCCATCCGCGGTGACCTTCAGGAAAATCTACACAGACAGCTTATTTTTATTTTCAGGATCCAAGATGAACAGATATGTCTGAAGTGTCTGTACTTCTACCATAAATAATCGTCTGTCTTAGTCAGGGCCGTTTGATCCGTTGCCTCACTATTTTATCCCTGGGACTACAAATGATCAACATAAATATATATTGTCTTGATTTTCCTAAGGAATTACAACTACGTGTAGTTGTTAAATACAAGTAGTCCTATAATTGCTACAGTTGCTCCCATTTCATTTTTTATTATTTCCACGGACCTCCTCCAGCGATGTGTCGGAGACACCAAAGCTGCTGAGCCCAAGGTCCACCAGGGTTTCCTCCAGCTCCCTGAAGAGGCTTGCGTAGGCCCTGGGCTGGAAGTTCTGGTTTGGCAGCAAGTAAGTCAGCTCCTGGCCGATGGCCTCGATGAGAAGAGCCTGTGGCACGTGATGGTGGATCAGGGCTGTGATGCTTTCCATGTTACCTGGAGACCACGGGTAGGAAATGATTTTTCTTAACTTCAACATCATATAATAATGGCTTCGATTGTTTATCTTAATATCTTAATGCTTGTCCTTTACTTCTCTTGTACTGAAAATGTTAAGTTGGACGCACCACAGTGTTAGTAAAAAGATGCATAAAACAGAATACCTGAAAAGGTCTACAGTATACATTGGGTGCAGTCAGTGGGATGTTTCTTGGTGTGACAACAGCAGCTACACTAAGTAGAACGACTACACACCAGTGCGAAAGAGACAAAGGCTTCATACTCCGACTAAAAGTTTAAGCAGATTGATATGAAGTTAGCATAACACACTGCTCTAAGAAATTAAAATAACATATCAATTAAACCTACCATCCATCTGTCTGTCTTGAGGCTGCTTCTCTTCTTGGTCCACTTTAAACTTTGAACACTTTGAACAATTACAGGAGCAATCATCTGTACGATCACAGCTGGCCTGCAGGACAAGATGTTATCATAAACAATAATATGCATGTACTACTGTTTTTCTAGAATCGTGAACAATTCTAGGCAGACAAAAATGTAATTGTGGCAGTGTAGAAAATAACACTTATACCTCATTTTTTTAATTCACTTCGAAAGCTACCACTCTGCACCATTTAAAGCCAAACGCACTCACACACACACACACACACACACACACAAGGCTACAATTCCCACCTTCGGTGTATTGTCTTTCATTCTTCGTACAAGAGTGAGGTAGAAGCCAGCGCCGAAACAGTTCTTGAGGAAGATGGGGGAACCGCAGCAGTGGAGGCGGCCCTGCGAGATGATCGCCACTCTGTCACTAAGCAGGTCAGCTTCATCCATGTGGTGGGTGGACATGATCACTGTGCGCCCTGCAACGGGAGGCCGAGGGGGGCGATTAGGAATGGGCGAAAAACGGGAAAGAAGGAGAGATGTTTGATGATTCTGACTTTGGACAATGCACATTTTTATCTCAATTAAGTTTTCATTTTTTTTATAAAACAGATTAAGTTTGGATCATTTTTAGAGATCAGGTTGAGACGGACGTGTTTCGATAGTGGACCCAGATTGAATTATTTTTTGCCTGATTACGCACATCTGTCAGGCGTGTTTATTATCTCACTTCTACATCGCATGTAATAAAGCAAGAAAAGCTACATTGCTACTTTGTTTATAAGTATTATCACAACAGATTCTTCTAATTGCTTTGTAACCTACAAACTTCATAAAAACGAGGTAAGAATATCAAACATCCTACTATCTAATAGTCACACTTAAATACCCGTTTTCCTGCCAAATATACTTATATATAGCTGACCTCACTTGTTTGGGCATTATTACAGATTCACCATTGTATGCAATGGTTGGATGTTTTAGATAATACAAATAACACAATAAATGTATAAGCTGCAACCTATTTTTAACAGTTGGATGGTGTGCACGTCGACTTATAACACATTTGCCGTCTAACTGTTTTTTGTAAGACTTGTGTATCTGAGGGTCCAGGACATCTAAAACACTACAACATTTGTGTTCTATACCTTCTTTTAGCCATCGATGATCAGTCGTACCTTCACGGTATTTGAGCAGCAGGTCCCAAATGGAGCGCCTGGAGTAGGGGTCCACCCCTGAAGTGGGCTCATCCAGGATCACCACCTTGGCCCCGCCAACAAATGCTAAAGCAACTGATAACTTCCTCTGCATGCCCCCTGAATTAGAACAACACAATGGACTGTGGTAGTGAACAGGGATACATTTGTACATATATTTGAAAACGGGGGGCAAAGAAGCCTTCTTGCAGACCTGAGAGGTTCTGGGTCAGTTCATCTCTCTTGTGTGGAAGCCCCATATCCTGCAGCATGTTCTCCACCTCCTGCTGGGCCTCTGCTATCGGACGGCCTTTCAACAACGAGTAGAAGAGGATATGTTCTGCTACAGTCATACTGAAAGAAAAAAAAAAACAAAGAGGTGCAATTAGTAATATGGTCATACCTATGAAATTGTACATACGACACAAACAATACAGCAAGCATGTTCTTATCACACTGGGGGGAGAGTTACACACTGCTGAAAAAGGGTGTTGTATTGAGGGCACATTCCCAGGGACTGACGGATGTTGTCCATATCCGTGCGGATGTCCTTGGCATAGATGGTGGCTGTCCCCGAGGTGGGAGGGAACATACCGGTCAAGATGGACCTAGGAAGAGGAGACAGAAAGAGAGAAATGGTGGTGACTACTTAATTGTTGTTGCATGCGAGTATGCGTCTGTGGGACATACATGGTGGTGGTCTTTCCGGCACCATTTTGGCCCAGAAGCGCAGTAATCTGGCTCTCATAAAAGTTCATGGTAAGGCCATCCACGGCCGGCGTGGAGCTGGAGCCGAACACCTTGACCAGGTTCTGGATACAGACGCCCTTCAGCAGGTCAGCTGGCTCTGCTTCAAAGAACGGCTGACCTGCACAAAGACAACCAGGTAACCGACCACAAACAAATCTTCTTGCAAAAGGTTTCAATCAGATCAATGTTTCAAGGTAAAAATAAACATCACATTTTTTAACCACAATATTGATAAAAGACACATGAGATCAGGGGACTGTAAAGCCATAACATTTAATATAACCGCTTGAATCACTTATTAACTCAGCATCGCAAACCAGCAAATGCAAACACACACAAGGACACTGGATTCCCACACAACGACACAGGGTGGCCGTGGGGGCAGGTCAGAGCAAATACAGATATGGCTTCAATCCCAATTTAGATCAAGTATTAACATCGGAGAAGTACTACATCGGTATAATATATTAACGTTAGTTAATACATTATGAATAGAAGAATGATGGAATGGCTTTTTCAGATCTCAGAAGTAAGCCGAGATGCTGTTAGGCAGCAAAATGCTTCTGTATTGTGCAATAACACAGTTGAGACAGAACTGTGTACGTATTAAATCCTGGGATTAAATTTTAAATGCAGCACTTAGAGGAAGTTACACTGAAAAAAACTGTTTTGAGTATGAATTCAACAAACTCTGTACACACCGCCTTTGTTCTGGTTCTCCTCCAGTCCCTCACCCTGATCCTGGTGATCACATGACGGCGTCTCTTCCAAAGTCACAATTTTCTCTTGATCTTGGTTTTCGTCACCCCCCTCTTCCTCCTCTTCCTCCTCTTCCTCTTGTTGTTTCTGCGGCTCTCCTTCGTCTTTGTTTCTCAGGTTATCAAAGCATTTTTTATCGATCGGCAGTTTGTTGTTGTCTTTGGCCACAAAATAAAGAATTTAAAAACTGACTGAGATCAGTACATTATTGGATAACACTCCCTAAGCATACCTATTTTATGATGCACAGCACGTGAGCAGTGAAAATGTTGAGCCAGTAAGCTTACCTGAAGCAGGAGCCACACTGTTGAGCCAATAACAGGGCAAGAGGGGGAAGTAAAATGGTCGCCCAATTCCATATTGGCCTGTGATGAAACAATGCAATACATGAGCTACAGTAAATAAATCAAATGGGATGAAAACCTCTCCCTTTTACACTGACCAGGGAAGACATTGTCCAGGTACCAGGCCAGCAGAGCGTACAGCACAGTGTCCAGGCCCATCATGCAGATGGAGGTGAGGAAAGAGAACTCGTCCCCCTCCAGAGGACTGGTCTGGATGTTGTCCCACTGCAGACCCAGGCCCTGCTCCTCGTACCGCGACAGGTACTCCGTCCCAAAGCCAAACGCCACCTGGGACAGAAGACTCTGCGAAGAGATGCATTGGTCAACTCATCTTTTTTCTAAATACAGGTCCTGTTCTTTCACCAGCTAATTTACAGTTTTCAGTTTTTAATGACATGTGGTAAAAACACAAAAAAAGGAAAAGGTTGCTTCCTCTAACTGATAATACACGCCAACAAGTCAAGAATTGAAGATTTCATGCAGGTAAATCCTGTGCAAAAGATGAAATTGGTCAAATACTCAATTTTTTCAACAAAGCATGTTCCCTTTAAAAAGGGAGATGCTGAGATGTGAAACCCACCGCCAAGATCTTCATGTCCTTGGTGATGTGGTCTTGCCAGGCAAAGCAGAAGATGTGCGGGAGGTAAAGGGCAAAGTAAATGATGCCACAGCAGGCTGCTGCCAGGTTGGCCTGGTTGAAGAAAACACTGAGGAGGAAGCATTGCATGATGGTAGCCGTGGTGAAAGTGAGCAGAAAAAGGAAGAGGATGAGGCCGTTGCTGTAGTTCAGTACCCGTCCAGCCTAGAGGCCAGAGACAGAGAGAAACAGGTTTTTCAGTTGCAATTCATGGAATCAGAATGACAAAAATCCTACATACGGTGTGTATTTATGGGAAGGCAAATGGACACAAGCATAAAAGTTGTCTTTTCATATATAAATTATGTTATTTTCTGCGCAGCACAGGGACTACAGATAAAAATTACTGTACTAATATATACTGCATTTTCCAGATAAATAAACATTAAATAATTGTTGGTATTTTGTTTCTTATTTGGTAAGTGAAATATTGTGTGAAATATTTTGTCATTTTTGTACAAAATTGGGGGGAATATTCCAGTCCAGGAACACCTATTTAATAATCCATATGTTGTAATAAAATGCGTTGATATGTATTTTGCATTTTCATTTGAATCAAACACATTTTTTGTATGCTATTTGAAATATCTAGAATCCTTACATTATCATTGTCCACTAGAGGTCAGAATAGCCCATCTAACAACATCATGTCAGCTGAGCCCGGCTGGCAACAAGCGATGACTTGTGACTCTTACAACATAGAGGAGTTAATCATTGACTGGTACATTCCTGCAAAGCTGTTGACATAATTCCCATGATGTCATGGTATTCAAAGTTCCTCCATCAATGATTTGTATGTGAGAAAGCCACTGGTGTTATTACTTCAAGGAAATAAATCCGGTATTGCTTCAGTGTAAAACTAGGTTATAATTGTCATCATCCAAGCTGCTAAGTTTTTTTTTGAACAGACTCATTAGCCTCACATGAAGATTAGGTGATTCTGGTGAAAGATAAATTGTCCAAAATGATTTATTGTCATAAACATGGCAACTATTCCATTTAAGTGAAAATGAAGGTAATGAGAAATATTAGGAAGTAGTAGAGGATATCATTCACTTGAGTGTTTCCATTCATATGCCGTTTTTTTGCATATCTGAGTTGAATCCATAGCGGCATCAGGTTTTCTACCCAAACGTGCAGTGTCTCAATGGCGCTATTTAAAAAGGCGCAGGAATGAGGATCTTTACAAGCTTCCTCACCATGATGATGGCGGTGAGGAGAGCAGTGCTAGTGCCCATCATGAGGAAGCTGTCGATGAACCAGGTGGACCAGATAACGCCGTTGGTGACCCCCATGGCCTTCAGGGTCTCCTTTAGCCGCAGCTCCTTCTCCAGCACAATACTCTTGACAATCATGGACACAGAGTAGACCCAGGCCAGTACCATGAAGATGGGGAAACAGCGATTCAATGTCAACATGAAGCTGGAGAAAGAAGGGAAAGTAGAAATAAGGTGAAGGACAGGGAGTTACTGTCCTTACTGACGTGAGGACGGAGAAACGTGAGATTCTCAATATCAGTTTTCCTATAAAAGAGTAGTTAACTAAGTGTAATGCTAAGTTGTGATAGTACATTGAAAAACAAAGTCAGCAAAACATTCTAAGATGGCTTTTAAAGGATATTGAATTTTGTTTGCGTTCATGAAATTATCACTTTTCCACTTACAGATCATCCACATAACAAGGGTAGGGCATCTGCTGTAGGTAAACACCCAGTGGCCACTGCTTTCCTGTCTGAGTCCTGATGATCCCGTGCTCTATTATGTCCTGGAGGTAAGCAAAGCCGCCCCAAACATAGCGGAAGTCATCCATGGGATCAGCTCTGGGGCCGGGATCCCAATACCTGAGCAATACACACATAGTTAATCTTTAAGTTTACCATCATTATGCTAAACCCATCATTTTCATTTGACTTTGATTCTAACCTGTCTTTGACCTTATTGGTGCGCTCCACTGCATCAATATCCATACGGATCTTGAACTTAACATGAGGTGGGACATTGGTGGTCCAAGAGTGCATGTTTACAAAGACGAGGCCTGCCCAAAACTTGCCGTCCTCCAACAGGTCCAAGGCCCAATTTGTGATGGTGTCCTCATCGGGCACAGCCACAAACTTATCCAGGAGCAGACACTGGGCGAGAACGAACAAGGCAAAAAACAGTCACATTTTTTATTCATTTTTAGTGTTTTCCCTTTCAGTCACTTACTTGAGTTTTAAATACACTGTGGTATGACTTTGGGTATAGAAATCCAGCAATCAAAAGCACTTTGAATTGGATATTTTAAAGTGAAACATATTCATAATCAAACTGGTTTGCCTTTCACCTGTTTGAGGTTGTACTTACTATAAGCACATAGGTGCTTTGAGCTAAATGCTACTTTAGCATGCTAACAAACTAACAATTACAAGGCAAACATGTCTCAGATTTTATATTATTAATATATTTTCCAAATTATTTCAGAATAACAAAGTCAATAGGACAAATACAAATGTGTGTACAAATGTGGGTGCTGATACATCCTGGAGAAAAAAGGGAAAATTGTCGGTACAGTTACGTCAGGAGATCACTAAATACATCATGGATTCATCCTCCGGGGACCATACATATTTTTTCACAAAAAAGATGAAATGAAACATTTCTGGTTTGGAGATATTATAGTGTGGACAAATAATCCCAAGTAGAGCAATGATGCTAGCGTGGCTAAAAAAAAACGTGAAACGCTGAGAACTGCCAGTGTTGCTTTAGCCAGTTTTGTCATTTGACGAGAAACTGCTTCAGTGGTTGTCTCTTCCCGGCAAAGCGTGTCTGATAGAGCTATTCACTCTACCCTTATGCAAATAGGGAGGGCTTTGATCCAAAAACAAACATTCCAAACAATTTAACCTTGCGATCCCACGGACAGATACCCCCCAAAACAGTTGTGCATCCAAAATACATGCATTCGCTGACACAATGTACACTAAACAAACCCAACTAATTATTCAAATCTCAAAGACCGTCCCTTAATTTGCCCAAGCATTCACCTACAAACACTGCAGCCGTGTTATGTATGCATGCCACCAACGTGAAGCCAACCAGCCATCAAGCCCACGGTCATTGTTGTCGCTTTATAATGGATCGTGGTTGGAGTGACAGCTGAAGCTAATCGGCCTCAATCGCTCCCACTCTGGCCGTCACACTCAAGTGGTGTAAGCTTCAACTTGGACAAAAACAAAGAGGACCAACCATCCACCATGCCGTACCCCAAGGTGCCCCCCATGTCACCCCCAGCGGGATAGGCCCCTCATCCCGATTAGGCTCCTCAAGGAAAGGAGTGATTTAAACTTTGTTTCAAATGCATTGGCCCACCAAATGTGGAGGGCATTCACAAGAGAAGGTTTATGATGTTTTTGTGTTTGTTTTTTTTAAATCCTCCACTCCACCAGCAGTAAACAAAAGAGACTCGATAGCGAGTTTTCTGCATTGGCTCTTGCCCACCTGGGTAGATCTCCCAGTCTCTGAAGTGGCACACAAACTGCACAGCCCGACAGCTCATATAATGCTGACATCACGTGAAGAATGGCATTGAGAACAACATAGCAGTTAGCCAACCAGGGTATTGAAATCAACAAGTGACAAGTCTTGCTTTAATTGGATTATTCCAATGAAAAGGCTTTTCGTGAAAATTGACGCCTCAGGTGGAGTGAAACATTCTTGCCTTCAGAGCCAGGAACGCGGGAGAAGTTGGCAAAAACAATCTTGACAACTTATTCTCATCTGAAAATCTGGAGCCAGCGTTATTTGGCATTCTGACACACATTCTTCAAAATCTAGGCAACGGCATTTGAGAGGCAAGTAACGCCTGCTACGAGACAAGAAAATGCTAAAACGATGGAAGTGTTTTACTCACGTCCCCATATTGGTTGAGCATGCGGATGAACCGGTCCGTGAGGTTGAAGAGGTCTCGCCAGTCAAAATCAGGCAATTCGGCCGGACGGTCCTCTGGTGGGCCGTTGTAGAGGAAGTTGAGGATGTGTTTGGAGGAGAACGGTGCCTCCTCTAGACTCCTGTCAATGAAATCCATCACCGATGGATTGCAAATGGTGTCCTAAACACAAAAGGGAGAAAGTTTTATTTTTATTTATTCTCCATTAAGTGCATTAAGACCTTTTCTAGAGGTAGTGAGATGGAGGATGCTTTTGCGACGCAAATATAAACATAACAAACATTTCAGAAAAGCAAAATGAAGAGGAAAAGAAAGAAAGAAAAAAGCAGCACTAATGAAACAAAAATGAACCTATTCAGAGCTATAAGATTTCTATGGAATGTGTGTTTCATAGACAAGGCTGGAAAAGTAATGGGGTTAGGAGAAGGGGAACTGATTAGAATAAGAGGAATGATAGAAAATGAAAGAGAGGCAGATACCAGATGGAAACGGGAAAGCGGGGGCATATTTTTGGTTAGATAAGGTTTTACATTCAAGCAGGAAACTACATGAACCGATGAGACCTCAGCCAAAATTAGCAGTGAGAAAAAAAATTAGGATAAAATCACCTCATTTAAAAGGCAATAGTTTGGCGTTGTATGCCATGTATGTAAGATTAGATTTTACACCACTATTGGTAAGTAAGTCCAATCTATGGATCCTGCAAGCAATCTTCTTTTTTTTGTTCATTGATTGCTGTTGTATTCACTTCAGCAAACACACTATGTGTGTGTCTTCCTTTCTTATGGCGTGCTGTTTAAACCTAACTATTCAGTCACACTATGTTGCAGCCGTACCCGGATCATGTTGACTTGGACTCCATCTTGGAAAAAAGCCCAGATCTGAGGAGCCACTTCCTCCCAGGCCTTTCCCATCGTCCTCAGCCTCTCCAGTTCCTCAAATGTTGTGTTTGCCTGCAGAACAGATCGAAACGTGTGCTTGCATGCGTGTCCGTGTGTGTTAGTGTGAGGGCCCAGTGTCTCAACGTTGGAAGGATAGGAAATAAACATGCACAAACAACCAGTCTCACAAATGTCCACATCTGGGTGCACAAAAGTAAGAAATATGGGAACATGTACAGAAAAACACATTGAGAGGGGCCTAAAAACCACTCATGATTACGCACGGTCGTGTAGGCCTACACGACATTCAGAAACCCAAGTACACAGTGTTCCTAATCTTCTGCTACATACCATTCCCACATCAAACTCTCTGTGAGAACAGGCTATGCAAAGACAACACACGCATTCTCACACAAATAGTTTCTGCGGGCATGGTCAGATAACCGGCAAATGTGCAACAAATTGTCAAATATTTACTGCACGCTTATCACTAAAACCCTGGATGTGTGTACAGCGCCTTGTGTGGAAAATACCAAAGGTTGGCTATTTCAGTAGTCATGTGCAGTGGGGGATAAAAGTGCTCAAGAGTACACCCAATTAAACGCCTTCCTCTTGTGTGTGTCTGATTTTGGGTGACAATGCGGACAATGGAGCCGGGATGACAATGGAGGCTGTTGGTGACTGCTGGCCGAACGCATTCAGCCTGTCCAGTGAATCGCAGTCAGTTTCCCACAAGTGAGTGCTTCCTCATTTCCCGGGGGCAGTTTAAAACGGCAAGCACAAGCAGGAGGAGGCCTGGGGGTTTTGTAAAGGGTGTACTGCGGAATGTTGCAGTTGGCCATGATGTGTTTTCTTTAGAATACACGTACAGTACATATGCAGCAATAAAGAGAGCAGGCTCTGTTTCATACGACCACTGTGTACCTCCAGTGCTTGTTAAAGTAGCCAAGTGAAATATCAGCGATGGCAAACCTGCATAGCGCATCATCACACAAAAGCAAAGTGTGAAAACATACGTTTAAAAGCTTCACTCCACTACTGAAACATATGATCAATGACAGAGTTAAGGGGAAGATCCTGTAGAGGCTGCGTTTCGGGCTCGTAAAGTCATGGCTTAACCCCTTAGTCATTACTTTAAGTGCAATTAAGATCCCAATCTGAGAGAATGGGAAAACAAAGAGGGCATTAAGGTCAGGAAAGAGGAAACCAAAGTGTGCGCGACTCTCTTTGTAAAGTGTGATCTCCCGTCTTTGAGGACAGACTCTTTCTGCTTACATTACACAGAAAAGACTGTGGCGCCAGTGAGCCGTGGTAGTCGACCACAGACGATCAGTCCGTGTTCTTCCATTAAAACCAAGCCATCCATGACCGCTGCCCCCCTGAAGGGCTTTGACCGGCACGTATCGACATCTAAATACAAAGGGTTGGACATGACATGAGGAAAGCTGATCTCCTTTTGAGGGCAACGCATTGTTTACCGCTCTGGGCTTGCTGGCACACAAAGGCGGATGTCATGCAGCAACAGACATCCTCTAAAAGGTGGTAATCTGCAGCATCTGTTTCTGTCTCTATACATGACTGAGCACATGCCACATTTGATTTATCTGTTTGATAATAGCAGCAACTATTTAGTTCTTACAACATATTTAAAATAAAAAATGTCCACAAAGTGAAATGCATCATGTCCTTCTGGGAAGTTTAACAATAGAGTTATGAATAATTTAAGGAGGCAGAATCCCTGCAAAAAGAGTTAAGTGTTAGAAACAGTGGTTCTACATCATATCTGGGGAAAGATGCATCCACAGAGTGACTGATGCTGCTTACATTTCGTATGATCTGCCGGACAGCCTGCGAGTCCGGAGCGTAGAGGATCCGTCCCATCAGCATTGGCTTGACAGAGTTCCACACAATCTTGGTGACGGGGTTCGACTCCAGGTCATTCATCATGTCATTGCAGAAAGGAGCTGTAGGGCAAGGCTACGTATTATATACGTAATACATGCGATTGAAATAGAATATGGGAAAAAAGTAATTTGTTATCTGATCTAAATATACTATTTAGCTCGGCGAAGAGAAGAGAATACTAACGCCTGATACTGAGATTTCAGAAACGGAGATTCTACTCTTCTTTCTTTGTCTTACGTTTATTCAAATGTTTAGGTTTATTTTCAAACTAACAGAGAAGTTTCACTGAAATCCATCCTTCTCGGACAGATAATTGAAGTTGCAGTATACAAATGCAGAGAGCCTTTCATACTAAACCAGACAATCCCTTGATATTATAATCCACAAATTAGAGTGTGGCCCTAAAACGAATGGCGGCATTGTTGCAGTTTCAACAACAAACCCTTGGTTCTAAAGCAAAACGCCTACTCTAACCTCCGTCTTGCTAACATACTAGTGACATACATGTTTCTACTCACTGGTGCTGTTGTCGTATGTGTACTGGTGCTGTGCCCTGTGGCTGCTGATGCCCAGGAAAGCTTTGTAGTTATTGTCCTCGTACCAGTTAAAGGAGGAGACTTGGGAGAACGCGCCCTCGGTGTAGCCACATACCAGGCTGGAGGCGGCGGCCATCACCTCCCTGAACGACAGCTTGTTCTGGAAGAGAGGAGTCATGACCCGGAGAAGCTCCCTGGAGCTGTTCCTCTGGTACAACTGCGGAGAGACAGGAACGTGAAAAAGAGCTTAAATAAGAAGAGCTATGTGTGAAGGAGCCACCACAGTGGATGAATCGGTAACCACCTGTTTGCCACATAAAGGTATAGGTGTAAGATAAGTATGCATAGAAAGGTTCAAATGGTCAAGCAGCCAAGTTCACCCTGATGCCTTTATCCATTTTTATTTGTAGATAAACTGAAGAATGAAATGCTACTATGCGTCGTCCTCTCACTAATTTATATACTGGATCCCACTTATCTGTAAAATGCATCATCACAAAGCTCAAAATAGGGCTGTTTTGGATATTTTATAACACTATTGTAACTTAAATTAATAATAATCATGCTAGCAACTATATTCTTTGTTTTGTTTCTTGGTCTTGATCGGTCACACTGTTTCACGTCTTCTGTCTCTACTTGAAGACAGTCTACGGTCAGGACAAAGACGTGTGCTGCCAACAGGAGGTCAGACTGTCAGCAACATGAAATATTCCATGGAAACACTCACAACAAACAAAACCGCACACACACTGAATGTTTCAAAACGAATGGGACACAACTCAATATATATCATTTTAGACATTTTTAACAGATGAATCACCCTTGACGTTAAACCTTCTTTTGTTCTTGCCGCCGCACTGTTGTTTCCATCGGGATGGTCCCGCAATGATGATCTATGTGTCGTACTTCTCTGGATTTAGCCTTCCTATTACGCACTAAATGATATCCCACTGCTGTCTGTTTACTGGAAAACTCAGAGCGAAGGGAAGCAACTGTTTCCTGACAGCTAAAAATGGCAAGCGGTGAACTTTTGAATGGTACTAGACGGACGCATGCCTCACCTCTCGCAGTTTGTCCGAGAAAGCAGAGACAACTTGTACCCAGAGTTGAATTTCGATGCCTTCAGAGTGATTATCCAGCACACGCGGAAGCTGAAGGGGAACATAAATGGATCTTTTTAACATGAGTGCTTTTCCAAATCACACTTACCCCAAACCTGACACAGAGGAAGTTACTAATATCCCGTAGCTCTCTTTGTTTTGAGGATCAAAGGGGAAAAGAGGAAAAGAGGAAAAGATGCCCTTGATGAAAGCCCAGTCGCAGTTTGAAGTATTTGGATAAATAGTGTTTTTATAATTAAGTTCGGATAAGCGGTTTGACAATGGATGGATGGATGGATGATGCAGTGGAGAGACATATTTATTTATGGCCTTGTTGCTTTCATGTCGAATGCCATAAAAACGTGTTGTGACTGATGTCCAAACTCCTTTCATGCTTAACTGGTTTGTACACAAAATGATGTATTAAAACAATGAAATTAGGTGATAAAATATACAGTTACATAAACATGTTTGGGCATTAAATGCTGGCAAAAAGCACTTTATCCTTTTGCTGCTCTACCAGAAGACCGAGGCAGACGGAAGAATAAACACATGCGGCCCAGTCCCATGTGACTGACCCCCGATGAAGACGAGGAAGAGGTCAGCCATTGTGTCTGTCTGTCTCAGCGTGGCCTGTGTTTACTCAAAGTGCCCTGTGATTACTGAGGAGAGGCGTGTTTCTTCACTAAGCTAATTACATACGGAGGCCACGTCTGCCTGCTCAGCTCATCTTCAAATCAGCCGAACCTATTTGAAGCATGATGGCAGAACTTCAGCGTGGCCTTAATTAAGCCACTTGCAGGTAAATAAGGACCTGCTCGGATGTTATAAGGTCTTTGTGGCGCTGTATTCTGGTAAATTATGTTTTTTTTCAATAATTGGTATTGATGGTTTTTTAATGTTTGAACACTGCACTCAGTATCTGAGTAGTTGCTCGTAATATTTAGATAGAGTTTATGTTCCCAGATGTTGAGAACTAATATTTCTTATTTCTAGTAAAATATTATAGTTGTATATTTTAGGTATTATTTCGTCAAAAACACTTTGCATATGATCCTTTTGATATCACAATCTACAGAATATTAATACGGCGTGATATGAAATATTTACAATGTTTTATTGTAAAGCATTCCTGGGGCATAGTAGACTTTATTTACCTAATACACATGCCAACTTGCATTTCTATGGAAACTATTTGTCTCACCCTGTGAGTCATAGTCCCTGTGAAAATATTACGTGCTGTTTATCAACTGGGGCTTCTGGCCATAATTGCACACAGCAGGCCTGTGTGGACTTGTTAGGTTTCGATCTGGCGCAAACTGTCACCGGGAAGTCAGAGATAAGTCGAAACCTTTAGTTTATCTACTGAATGTACAAAATATTAAAGCTTTGTGATAAAGTCGTGAGGGATATCATTACCTCAAGATGACTAAAATATGTTTACATCGGTAAACTAAAATGTTTGCATTTTTTATGTTTTGTTAAATACATTTGACTGTAAAATGCAAACAATGAAACTAATCCGTTGTTATTTGATCATGTTTAGGGGAGCTGAGTAATTTAGATTATGCATTTTCAATTTCCAACATGGGGATGGGATTTTTATTCATGTGCTAAAACTGATTTAAAAACTTCTTTAAAGTTCTCTATCAACTTGTCATAAAGATTAGTTCATAAAATGAAGCACAGAAGTCAACGCTTAAACAGCACTGCTTGATAACTGTTTTGTCAATGTTACTGCCCAATAATGTAAATGCTTATGACAGCTTAACCTCAAGTCCTTCAGGCAGCGTTTGGCTCAGCCTTCAGTGAATAGCCATTGAAGATCTTGGCAAGCAATCTAAAAAAAACAAGGCAAAAACCTGGATGGGACTCGTCAGACCTCAGCTCTAAACTGGCCTTTCTGATTCAGCATATGGCAAGGAGCTTTGGCACATAGTATATTCTGGTGTATATATAAGAGCCAAGTCTCAACTCACCAGTCTGAAGAGCTTGAAAAAGTCAACATTTGCATAGAATTTGTCCTCAATGATCTGTAGCCTTTGAGGGGTAAGGATGCACATGGCATTACGAACAGCGTGGAGTCCTCTGCGGCTGGGGAAGACGAGGAATCGCTCCAGCAGGGTCAGGCTGCACGCAATGTCCTTTAAATGCAAAGCTGGAACTCCAAAGACAAACTGCAACAATGTGTAAGTAGACAAAATCAATTAGATTTTCAGCAAACAGACCAGGTTGATTCAATGCAAAACAATTAAGGAATGAAAAATACATTACTGCTTTACAGTTAAATATTTCATATTTATTCCAACATGAAAAAAGGGGTGAATTACACTTCTTACAATCTTACGTTTGTCGTCTTTACAGGCAATTCAGTATAATATATTAAATATAACAAATAATAATCAATATATCATCATATATTCTGTATATTCTGTATATCAGTACAGTCGTTTTGTCTGCTTGAATGGCCATCAAATCTGTGCTCTTTACTTCTTACAGAATGTCCTCCGCCTGTCGATGGCAGCCTTGACCAGAACACGCAAACTTGGGGCAAAAAAACAATGTTGCCCGAGGCTGAGTCTATTTAAGGATGCTAATTGGTTAAATTGTATGTCACACATTTTTTAGCAATTGGATAAAGAGACAAATGACAGGCAGGAACGTGCAGAAAAAGCATATATTTTCCGCAGATATCATATTTTAAAAAAAATGTCTGGGTACAGTAATAGGAGTGATGACGCTCCATTGCCTTCTGTTTGCCAGCTACCACTTGCAGCCTTTTTGGAAGACTGCGATTGTTATAACGCGGTACTTAATCACAAACACGAGCACGACCTCTTCCAGGGCTCACCTCACTGATAACACACTATGAGTGCACGGGAAAAACAAGTAAATAGTAAAAAAAAAAAAGTAAATCTTCTATTGTGAGGAAATACTAATACGAGTGTAAAAATATATAAAATAAATGGACACAATTGCACATAATTTTTGAGGTTGTCATGGTACCGTGATATGTTGTGGAAAATTGCTGCCTGAATCACATTCATTCCATTTTTAACCCTTTTATTGTCTCAAACGCAACCGTTCCTCAGGTGACGTCAGAAGGTCCCTGAAGGTGCAGAATTAAGGGCTTAAGTGGGGACATTGTGATTGTCCCATTGTTACAGCTTTACAATGACCACCAACTTTTTGAAAGTTTTGGGCTCCGGAAGTGAATTTCACATTCATTCACTCCATTGAGGTGTCAGAAAACACTCTACGCTTTATGAGAATACTTTCCAGTAGAAAGAATTGCTTGTGGGAAACAAAATGTCGGGTCAAGGCTGCCAGACGGTGATGGTGTTATCTTGATTGGTTGTAACTGCAACACTACACAAGTTTCGCAAAATATTGTTGAATCAATGTTGAAAGACGACACATATTTTCTTAGCTGCCTAACCCGTCTTGTGTGTGTGTGTGGTGTGTGTGTGTGTGTGTGTGTGTGTGTGTGTGTGTGTGTGTGTGTGTGTGTGTGTGTGTGTGTGTGTGTGTGTGTATGTGTGTGCGTGCCTGTCTACCTGTTCAGGCCTGATTTGGGCACTGACTAGCTGATACACCACCGACTCTGTCAGAGGAATGTCTCGAAGCAGGAATGATGTCAGAGTCTCATCGTCCTTCAGGATAGTCTCCACTTTTACACCTCGGCCTGCAGCGAGAGACAGAGGGGGTTCATGGGAATGAAAACAATATGACAACAGCGTCGTCAGAAATATGACGTTACCCTAAATGATTGATGTCCTCCACAAAACCACATGTGTCATCCAGTGTGTACTGAAAAACTCACACACACGAATTGGGCCGGTTTTGACTAATGTGTGGTATTAAAAGGTTAGGAACGTTAGATGAGGACACTGTACCTCTGAACAGTCTCATTATTCAGTGACTTGTCTGTGCATGAAGAAAGTTTACTCTGTCACATAAACTGCTGGTTTGAATCCAGGTTCATTCCCACAGAGATCAACCTGGTTTGTGTTGAGCTTTTTATGCACCCGCTTGAAAACACAAAGGAACCAACCAGAGGCCATGGGGTTAAATATGTATTTTAAAAAAAGCTAAAGAATACAAAATGAAATGACATTGATACGTCTTACGTCCTGTTTCTATTCAGGAGGTGGTGGGTGATAAATACCAGACTGACCAGTTTGCCAAAACGACAAATTACAAAATGATACCTTGTCTTTTGATGGTAACTACGGTACTTTGGGTTCGGTTGTGCACATTACGGGAAAATGTATGATGCCCCGATTACTGAAACAATGCCTTCTTCACTGTCATTTGTAGACTTTGTTGTGTAGAATAAACCAAAAATGACAGATTAAGATAATTAGTGAAATTAAAAGGTGCTGGTAGGTTAGCTCCAGTCCTTGTGCTAAGCTAAGCTTCTTATTTGCAGAACAAGCAACAACCGATCAAGGGCCTTGTACATGAGTTCATGCAAAGGTTTTCTGTTTCATGATTGTTCGTGTCTTTTTCCACAATTACACCACTTGGTTACTGAATTCGCTTTTGGGAACCTATAAGTGGAATGTGGATCCATATGTCTGTTGGCTCTGTTTGTCCATCAACATTTTTCTCCATGAGAGCGGCAGCATAGAGAGCAACCAGACGTAATCATTCACAGGCTGGAATGCACTCAGTCTCATTCCAATGACATCGTAAACATTTTATGTTTTGCTGGGAAACATGCTGAACGGACCGTATGGATCTATGTGTAACTGTTAATATGCATGAATTTTTTTTTAAGGTGCGTCCGCATTTCTACTGTATGTTTTTTCATGGAGACAAGAGCATGTATGTGTGTGTGTGTGTGTGTGTGTGTGTGTGTGTGTGTGTGTGTGTGTGAATTGCTTTCCCCACCTAATAACCAACACACTGGTGGTGAAAGTAAGCAGCTTTTGTAATGGGACTCTTTAACCCGTGCTATGTGATCTTGATGGAGGCTTCACAGCTATGACGATTGGGTAAATGTGTCAAATATGATGAGAATCTGATGCTGTTTTTGATTAGATGATGCTCCCAATTCACGATTGGACATTGGGAGTCCATTTTCCTCACTATGAGCCCAACAAAATACGATATAGCCAATAGGAGGAGAAAATGTATAAGTACCATTAGTCAATGTTGTCTAATGTTCTTCCAGGGACAAGATTTGCGTAACTTCAGTGTAACAATTTACCAGACCAACCTGGTAGGGTTTGGGTTTGCTTTGTAGACAACTGTGCTTTTGCAGGCTGCGGCACTGACCTGAGACCTGTTCGGGATGGGTGCGGAGGGTGTCCATAAAGTTACTCATAGCGTTCAGGTCTCTCCAGAGGCGCCCGAGCTGCTGAACCTCTGGGTCGCTAAAAAGAAGCTCGTGGGCATCTGTGTAGAACCGAGCCAATCTGAGGTCAATAACAAACCACAGAGACATTATTCTTTTGTAGCAGCAGAATAACATCATGCAACACCGAGAATACAGAGACATTTATTCTCATTGACTTCATTGCATAATTCTCCCCTATCATCTGGGGAAATTCAGAACATCTGGTTTTGAACAACCTCCCTCTACCAGCCGAGGGCGATTCTTACATTGAGTTGTTGTAGTTGGACACGAGGCCAGGAGATTCACCCCGGGTGGGGTACTGAAAACAAGGGTTGTTGGCATTACAGAAGATTCCCTGGATCCAAGGCAGGACCCCCGCGGAGGGCATGGCCTTGTTGGGGAAGTGGCCTGGTGTGGAGGAGATACTGTTACACAACTAATTTAGGAAATATTTATGAGTTGACACTGTATGTGTATTTGATACATCAAATGTTTTTTTTTTATGTTTTCTGGTAGAAAGACGTTTGCATACACTCATTTTGACGGTAGAGTGGATTCACTCGTCTCAGCCAGACCAGCCCCATGAACAGCATGACAGGCCACATTATCTCCATGAAAAAACGCACCTGGGTGGAGAGGACAACAATACGTTACATTACATTTGGCTGACGCTTTTATCCAAAGCGACTTACAATAAGTGCATTCAACGATAGGGATACAGAACAAGAAACAAGAAATTACAATTTCCTCAAATAGGCCAATTTACAATTTACAAAGTGCTACAAATTTGTTAGTCTTTTAGACAAAGTAGAGTCGGAAGAGGTTTGTCTTTAGTTTGGGGCGGAAGATGTGAAGGCTCTCTGAGGTCCTGATGTCTTCAGAGAGCTCGTTCCACCATTTCGGAGCAAAGACATCAAACCAGTCGTGATCTTGTCACAACCAAATGTTTTCAACAACTGCATCATTTTCTAAAAGTGGTTTGAAGACTGAGTGAATCAGTCAGACTGGAAAAATGGACCTTCAATGGAGATATAGATATAGTTAAATAATTGGAGAAGATGTCCAATGGGCCAATAATGCTCTGGAGTATGAAAAAGCAACTAAAATAGTATGTCAGATAATATGATGAAAAACGACAAAATGATGACAGATTTATAAAATGGATTAGCTTTAAAATATATCTAAGAAGTAATTGCCCTTTTAGCCGACTGCACCTCCCAGAGGGATAAATGAAGTGTATAATTGATGGATGAGTGGATTTTACCCTTTGCCTCCTGCGGATAGTCCAGTTCTTCCACAGCAGGAGTTTGACCTCTTTTCCTGCCCCCATGGCGCCTCTTTCTCACCCCCGCAGGGGCTGGCACCAGCCAACAAACCTGGATTCAACCATTCCACAATACTCTTACCGAGTCAGTGAAGCCACCTTAAGCTTTACAAAAACATGTTTGATTAATAGATCATTTGTATCTGGAAGGCTGGATTTTTCTATCCTTTCATCCAGTGAGTACGGCATGTTAGCGCGTGCAAAAGATCTGCAAAGAGGTCAAAGAACTCCAGACACTTCACATGGTCATGATTACAAGAAGAGACCTTTGAACATGCTCGAAATATCCTCAATACTATTTGTGGTTAACCTCAAACACTGAATATTGCACAATCCCAGAACATGTAACAATATCAACTTTATTTATTTAGGTAAGGAACAATTACTGTGAAATGTTGTCGCTACATAATTACCTATTTAATATACATTGGATATATGTCAAAGCATGGCTGTATACTAGAATGGAAGATAACTTACCTCAGAAGAACACTTGCACTATGGAGCAATACCAAATTCATACAGCGTAACAGCACATGTCCTACCGAGTGCTCCTCGGGGTGCACTGCTACACAGCCAGACCTTGTGAATAGTTAAGCAGATTGATTTTAATCTTCTTTGCCAGTGCTGGGAGTCTCCAAATGCTGAGGAGAGCATTAGCAGCGGCCTAAATGACCTAACCGCCTGGCCCACGTTATATTGCATAACCCAACCTGTTGTAATCCCACAACTGGTCAACAATTAGTGTACTACTTTTAATTACAATTCAACATATTTTTAGCTGTATCTGTGAATTTTCAGGCTGCCATGCTGCAGCATGCTTGCTAATACTATTGCATAATGTCTAGTACTCATGGGAATAATTATTCTTTGTTAAATACAGTTGCTGCAAGTTGTACATTTTTGAGGGAATAAGAAACACTGACTGGATGTAATTTGTCAGATATATTTTAATAAGTTACAAATGGGTGTTTCATGTACCAGTTTTTTTTTTGTTTTGTTTTTACTCTGAACCTTTAAACATTCTGCCAACCTTGTACATTAACATGAAAAACAGATTTAAATACATGATGCACTTCCTGTTACAAAGAACATGTAAGGCTTAGGTTACTGATAAAACTAATTCAGATGTAAAAGGGAAAGAATGCTTTGGCTATTATGAAATGTAAAAGTTATATAAAAAAAAGACAGATAATACCATTTATACAATCCAGTGGCATTTCTAAAAGCTTTTCAGATCAGTGTAAGTTGACACCGTACAAGTTCAACAGTATAAAAACAAGTGGATGTTTACCCTTTGCAACTGGTGCTTTATAACATTACCCGATGCCAATGCAGATACTCAGTACAGCATCAAACAAAGGTCATTATATAGCTTAATACACAAGTTATTTGTAACATTATTAATTACAACCTAAATGTAACAGTTCATAAAACATTTGAAACTGACTCAGAAAGATTTGTAGAGTATTGATAAGTGCACCCACCTTTTTTTCAGTGTTGTGGCTACATGGACTGTTTTAAAAACTTTAATTTTTGGTATATAAACAAACATCATCGTGAGCCTGTAGGAACTTGGGAGAAAATATTCACACAAAATTGCACAGTTTAAAAAAAAACATAAATATTCTGACCGGGTGCCAGAGTGTAGTGAGCAAGAGATTGGTAAATGAAATATAGGTGAATTAGAACATGCAACATTTTAAGTGCATCTTGTTTGTCTGTGGCCATCATTGAAGCGCATGTGGAAACTGCTGAGTCAATTGCAGATGTTTCTCACCACCTGCATATTAGAATACGGCCCACATTGTCAATGTTCAAGCACTGTTGCATCTGGATCTCTGATGACCCTCGGGTGGTCACACAAAATGAGCCTCCCGACGTTCGACCTCTTGGAGGCGCCTGGGCCGTAGTCTCTGGTACACTGGTTTGGCCTGGTCTGGGCTCAGTTCCTCCAGGCTCGAGCTGGGGGACTGAGACATGGCTGCCTGGTCGGCTTCATCGTCTTCCTCCAGAGGCTCATCTACAGACACCTCGATCTCAATCCCCTCTTCCTCCTCCTCCTCATCATCATCATCATCATCCCCCTCCTCCTCCTCATCTTCTTCCTCTGCGCTGTTAGCTGATGGACAGCTGTGCAGCTCCTTAGCTTTGCTCCCCGACGGGGGCTTGTAGAAGGTCCCTGGGGGCGGCTGAAGCGTCCTGGGGGCCCTAAAACCTGTTGCGACGGTATTGTACTTGGTGAGATTGTCCTCCCTTCTTAAAATCCTGCTAGGTCGCACTGCAACCGTGTAAGGTCTATTAGGGAAGATTGTGCTAATGCTCGCAGTGGTTCCGAGAGTGAAAGACGACGAGGACACCGGTACAGACGCCGACACGTCGCTTGCATCCACTGCTGTGCTCTCTGAGGGAGAACTGGCCACGATTCGCACAGTCCTGGCCGCGACATCGTGCTTGTACTGTTTGTCCCAAGTCCTGCGTAACGTCTGGGTGTCGATAAACGTCCGCCGGTAATGTGTGCCCGCTCGAGATTTTGTACTCTCGGTTTCGTCCACCTCTTCGATGGATTGGTCGCAACCCGCTCCCTTCCGGTCGTCTTGGTCGGCGCTGTTCCGCGTGTTGTTCTCGTCTATTTGACCTCGGCCGGCTACCCGTTCGGCTGGCAGGCTCGCCGGCCGGGAGGACAGTTTGTTGCGCGGGTGTCGAAGCTGGACCCTGGGCACGGGGATATGCTGAGAGCGGCAGAGGCCTCCCTCGCCGGGTTTCGGGATGTCTTGGACGCCTGATGGCGAAACCCCTTGGAAGGCCTCTAAATCCACTTCATCAACTTTGAATAGAGGGATCAGCAGAAGGTTAAACATCGACATTTTAAGTAACATGGTGTGGACATTATTGGGTTGACTATTTTTGTAATACTGACCGCGTTCAAAATCGCTTCCATTGAGGCGGGGCATTGACTCATGAACCTCCGCCAATAAGTGTGAAGAAGGAATCATGGAGGAATGCCTCTTATACACCTTAGAGCTCTGCTGTAACGATAAGACGGGCGAGAACAAGGACAGAAACAAAAGCGTTGATGTGTCATTTCGTGTTCAAAGACAAATGGACGAATGTGCTGCATACAACATGGACGTCAAAACACGATACGCGCAGACAAACAACTCACCTCCTTAATGTCTCCCAGCGACTTGGAGTGCCTGCTCAGCAGCTGCTCCTTCTCCTGGGGGGCGTGGCGGGGTCGACCGTCAATCTTTGCGGGCGAGGTGGGGCTCAGTGGGCTGAGGGGGGTGTCGAAGATCATCTGGTAGTGTCTGATCAGAAGTTCAACCACGAGTGCCTGATACGGGTAATCCACCAGTGAGGAGAGGGAGACCTCGGCGTCCGCCTGCCTCGGTTTGATCAGTGTCGGGCCAAAGATGATGCCCAGGTTGCTGGCTGTCATCTTATTCTCCTCCGATTGCTCCGTCACTCTGCAAAGACGACATTATTAAGTCATCTTTCATCTATTGAATGGCTTGCTCGATCTTTTTAAAGCGTAATAAATCACATTCCTGCTTGTAAAAATGACCATTTTAATGAAGCATTTGACAAAAACGGCCGCTGTACCGGTGCAGATGCTCTATGAGGAACTGCAGTGTCTTGTAATGAACAGGTGGCAGCTGTCTCAGTAGGTCTTTGATCTTGAAGAGGATCCGGTTTAGGTCCACGCTGACCTGGGCCGGGGTCACTGAGGTCGGACTACGTCTCAATGCCTCCAGTTCCTCCACAATGATACTCTGACTTTCCTTGGCCAGGCCGATAAAGTCGTTGTAATATCGGAACAGGATGAGCGGCTGTGGAAGCTGCAGAGGAAAGTGTGAGAGGGAAAAAATAAATAAATAAAATGAAACAAGGAAGTTAATAATAAACAGACTATTGAATAGTTTGAGTTATTAGACAAGTAGGACTAAATTAGAAAAGAGATAAGCATTCTCCACTCGCCTCCTCATATAGAGGACCGTCTGTGGGGGTGGAAGTCCATTTAAAGTACACTAAATGTTGCTCACCTGTCTCAGATAGAGCTTGAGTACGTTGCTGATGTCGTGGGGGTAAAGTTCGGAGAGCTCCACCAGGTCCTTGCCATTCTCAAAGGCCTGGCAAAGCTTCTCCACCCGAGACTTGGCACCATTCACGCGGTAGATACCCTATCACAGCACAACAACAACAAGTCAGTCAACGCAGGGTAATTGGATGCAATTTTGTCACTGTGGCACAACTGGGTTATTACTGCGGCCTATTATTATATTAGAATGAAGGGCGTATATTAGCATTCATTTAGTGCAATCGGCAATCTGGTGCCCGGATTTGAAAATCTAGGTCAAGTATGTGATTACTTCTTAGTAAGTACGTGATTACTTCTTAGAAAACAAAAGTCATCTTGAAACTCTCTAATAATCGTGTATATATTCATCACATTATTGTATCCTCTTCGGGAGGCCAAAGAGAATCTTTTCCAAGAGGCAACATCACAACAATCATCAATTTGTATTCCTCATATTGGACTAATCTTACCTTTATGTTCAGGGCTCGGTTCTCGATTTCTGACGTGCACTTCCTTATGATGAAGGGGATGCCGTCCTGACTGTTCTTAGCTGCCTGAGTGAAGTCAATGCCGAAGAGATGGAGCTTCCCCTGGAGCTTCTTGTGGCCGCACTGGATGGCCAGGGTCTCCAGACACTTCTTGTGGCAGGCCAAGGAACACTGCAGACACAATAACTCAGTTATGAAAAGGGAAAGACGTTTTCACCCTGCTGACAGGCGGGAGGTTCAAAAATAGAGAATGGTACTGAATTGTTAACATTTGAATTAATACTATAGAAAAATCCACAGGATAACCTGGAATAAAGCTGTGAATTATAGTTACACAACTAATAAAAAAATAACTAAGAATGTGGACCATTTTCTACATGTGTACTTGTTCTAGCTTTGGCACAAAGACAATCACTCTAAAGTAGTTTGGTTGTGACCCCTTGAACCAATGCCATGGAAGGATTCCAAACACTGCAGAGTCATATTGTTACGTCTTGTCAATGCGTCCACCACTAAAAACTTTCCCAGTGACGGTCCTGTTATGTTCTTAAAAAGGAAAAGAAACTAGACCTAAAATAAACAAGGGGGAAGAAAAAGCCTTCAGTTTCCACAGCCCGATCCCCGACTGAGACCAGTCGGTGGGTTTGGTCTCTGAGGAGACACTTCGGACACTTTCAAATGTTCCCTTTATTCTAAAGTCTTGATGAGCGACGAGGTGGTCTTTTGTTTTTGTTAGATTTTTGCCTACCATCACTGAGAAAAAAGCCAGTGTGAAACGTTGGCACGCTTCATGGTATTTTAAATACTCTGCATGCTGTTGAGACACTTGGTGAAGGTCCAAATAGGAACTCATGGTTGGCGTTTTGTTCCATTGGTTTTAAAACAAGATGGGGAAAAAAAACAATTTACCTCCTCACACTCCGCTCCATGAAACACCACCAGGCCGTCGCACTCTCTGCACTTTGATGGCGCCCTAAGCTTCCTCAGCTTGTGGGTTTGAGCCGCCTTGGACATCTGGGTGTTTCTAAAGGGACCCGGAGAGCTGGCCGTCTCGATTATCATCTCACTCACCCCTACAGAGGGGAGGGAGAGGAAGCACAAACCAAACGTCACTAAGAGCCCACTCCTCTCTTCTTGTATTGACGATAGGAAATACTTTGAAATTCCAGGGTTCACTTTGACTCACCGTTATCACAGGGTGAAGGAGGCTCTCTATCATCCAGGTCATCAGCAGACGACATGGTGCCAGTTGAGGGGGTTCTAGGTAATCTCCTCTTGAAGTCTCCTGAGCAGTAAGGCAGGATACACCAGTAAGTCCACATCTCCACCGTTAGATTGTTCTACTTTCTTCTGCCATCTCATGTGGACCACAGTGCAGTGATGAACTACTGAGAGCCGGACTGGGGCAACTGCCCCGGATTTAAAGTGCCAAGAGAAAAGGCGTGGCAGACTTCACGTTGGTGATAATGCAATTACCAGTATAGGAATGTTGGTGATTCACACCCCTATTGACTTTCCATTATCTACAATAGGCTCTATCTTAATAATGTGGGTGACTTTCTAATGAACCCAATAAATAGGCCCATCAGGGATTCCTGATGGACTGCGAATTGTGCACCGTCAATCAACTATTCTCATCCAGCTGAGGAAAATCCTTATCTGAATGGTAAACTAGAAAGTCCTTTCATTGATTCTTGTGTGGACACCTAAGTTCAAAAGATTTTAATCAGCCAAATAAAAAAAAAAGAATAACAAAGTTGTTCTTTCAGTGTCAGCTGTAAAAGCACACCTGATAATGGAACACTTAAATCCACATGACTCATTTGGTTGAAAATCTCCTCTGCAAACACTTTGAGGAGAGCCCGACACATCCAGACTTTTAGGAAGGCGATTTGTAGAAGATCATCAAACGTCTGTGGCTCAACCTGTTGCACAGCAACCGCGGCAACATTGAAAGAAACTCAACCTGCACCAATACTCCTATTTCAAGTGTCTGCATGCGGCGTAGATTAGCAGAGTTGCTCACTGTCCAACAAAGAGGCACCACTGACAGTGGGATAACACTGGGGGTTTTCTTCCTCGCATGCAATGATTTATGCAGAAGATTAAACGTTATAAAATGAGTCTCTCGAAGGCTGTCAAGAAACACAAATCCCTTTACAGCATGCGATTGAAGCCAATAATCAGTTCCTAAGCAACATGCATATTAAAAGAACACTAGTTTGACTCACTTCACTTTATGGATTGATGAAAATATCAGTTTCAAGTGAACTTTAAGTAAAATATTTTTTCCGTAAACAAAGCGTCGGTCTTGAATGGCCCTACCTGGGCTCGCAGTGGGCGAGTCCATCGACCGGGACTCACTGCTCCCTCCGGCACTTTCCGAGTCGCTGCACATACCTCCACCGTGGCTGGCCGAGGCCCAGGGACGAAACGAGGCCTGAGTCCGAAGTGCTGGGTAGAGACAATATTACAGCACACTCTTGGATTAAAAAATGTCCCCTCTGCATTTCTTCTGTCGCTACAGACTGAACACAACATATGAACTCAAATCTTTGTTCTCTAAACTCAAACATCAAAGATTACAAGACACTTTATATTTGCAGGAGCTATTAGGCTTGAACGTGGATCCGACGTACCTTGAATGTCAGTGCTGCTGTTGGAGTGCCTTTCAGCAATCTTGGCATGCTGGGCAGTGACAGGACTTTCCATGTCATCTGCACCGAGGAGATCAGAGGTCACCGACGCCTGTGACAGGTTACTGTGGGACGAGTGGCTGCCACTTAGTAGGCGCTTGCTGAACAGCATCCTGGGGACGAAAATGACGGGAAGAAAATGATTATGCTACTGTACTATTTAGGACGTTCTTCATGGAATAATACTTAGTTTAAGAATTCATATTAGACAAGTCTTAGGCAAGGTCAATGCAGCCGAAAATGATCTATTGATCTGTTAAAGAGGCCTTTATGGACAACTTAAACGGATTCAAGGGAGAATCACGACATTCTCTTTTAGGATTGGAAATAATGCAATTTTGAATTGGTGTCTTGCAATTTGATCAGTTAAATCTGTGAAATTCCTTTCCTGTGGGATCAAATTGCCGTCATTCTGAATAACATTATGAGATGAGCCGCGCCTCAGACAGCAGTTAATCTGTAACGATGATTAGCTGATGGGCTTGTGAATGGCCGATGTGCAATCCAGGGCAGGCATTGTTAAAAAAGTGTCCCAATGTTTCTGACAATATACAGTATGTAGGTCAGCGGTCTAAAATTAACTTTCTGAAAACCAATGCTGATGTGTGTATGTGTGTGTGTGTTTCATTTCCTCTCAACCATGCTGAATTCTTTTGATCAGAGTAATCGGACTTGGAAGACCAGGAAGAATAAAGCACTCTTAATTTCATTAGTGTGTGTGTGTGTGAGAGAGAGATTACAAGCCTGTGATAAACTCACTCAAAAAGGAAACAAACTTACATGTTTAACCCAGCACCATAAGAACAGGCTACTTAGAAATACCCAAATGTAAACCATGTTTTCAATGGTTGTTCGGTAGTATGTTGTGTATTTAACTTGAAAGCTACAGAAAACGTTCACAGAGATTAAGCCAAACTGATGGAAAGCGCACTGCTCCTTTCTCCCGTGACCGCAGTCATTTCCCCAGGAAGCCCCGGCCAACCCGATTGTTTTACGCTTTCCAAAACAAGCTCTCTCACTCAATCACTCCACCTCCCAGCAGTGAGGGCAACATAATCATAGGCTACTGTGATTTCACTGGATCATCAAAAACTTGTTTACCATTTTCCCACGGAATCCTAAGCTTTAAGCTGTTTGGGATGAAAATATTGACATTTTAAATTGAGACGATGTTCAAATTACTTGACATCAGGATCAGAATCAGGAAACATTTATTGCCAAAATTTGTCAAACATACAAGGAATTTGTCTTGGCGGTTGGTGCGTGACAGTAGACATTGACATGAACTGTCAAGCGCTGTGAGCTTAAACAAATAAGACATTTATTTGCATTAATAAATACTATAACTGTAATATGAGGTGAGTTCTGGTAGCGAAAGACAAAAAAAAGCCATCTTTTTTTATCTGTATCTGCTTAAATCGCCTGTGAACCCAACAGTGACGTCACTGATCCCACGTCGGAACTGGAGAACCGCGCTTTCAACATGACTCACCCGGTGCCGTGCGTGACGGCCGAATCAAACGAGTGGGACTCCAGGCGAGGCCCGTCCGTGGGAAGACCCCTGACGAAGTCGATGTAGCGCTGCCCCGGCTCGTACAGTTTGGCATTTTCACACAGACTCTGGTGGTTGACGGGCAGGGACACGACCTGGGCCTGCTGGAGCTGGAACCAGTTGACGGACACCTGAAAGAAGGAACATGCGACATTAGCGTGAGCACGGGGTGTTGATCGCCACCCGATTAGTCCGTCCGAGATTAAATGATTTCTGTCAAGTTGCTGTAAGAAAACTTTGTCATTCGTGACGACAAAACGACATTCGTGATGAACATTTTCAGTAAACAAACTGGAACTTACGGCCTTGAGGGTGAGGTCGCACTGGGAGACCATCACACGGATCTGCGTGATGATCTCGCTCTTGGCGTTGGTCAGATCGACTCTCTTGTCCCCAACATCGATCTGACATGCTTTGCAGTGCTCCCTGGCCTCATCAGCCTGCAACAGATGGGACAACAATTCAATCAATGCTCAACTCTGATCACACATTCATTTGATTTGACTTGAGCCAGTTGTGAGCATGTTGGAACTTGGCCCAGAGTCCTCGTTTTGACCCTCCGCCTATTTCTGTCTCTCTGTATTTTCGACATGGAATGAATTCAACAAAGAACAGCCTAACAGGAATATGTGTGTAGTACTCAGGTTCCTGCTTTGTGTGCGCAGCCTACTTGCTGATAAGTATCAGCTCACAGGGATTCTGAGTAAAAAGGACTTGGTGAATGCCAAACAATGCTGCATAGGTGTAATCATGGCATTCAAACTGACTTTAACAAACAAAAATGCAAATAATCAGAAACAGCATTTTTAAAGAAGCCTATAGGATGAATTCAGGGCTGTTAGGAATTGCAACATTACGGTAGCAACGGAGGAGCCGCACCTTCTGCTGGGCCTCCTCCTCCAGCCTGCGCCTCTTCTCCAGCTGTTTGGCCGCCGCGGCTCCTCCTGCCCCTCCGATCTGCTCCTCCTCGAGGCGGCTGGTGGACACCTTGGCCTTCTCGTACTCCTCCTGCCGCTGGACCTGCAGCAGCCGCGCCTTCTTCAGAGCACTGTCCGCCTCATTCTGCAGATACACGCGTGTCAAAGTTAAAGCTCAGATGGACGAACGTATGATGGCTGTGACTTTCTAGAGTGTGGGAACTTAACTCATTTAATGTTAAATAGTAAAGAATACCAATCCTTTACAGTCTTATTACATTGGCTAGTGATGCTCATTCAGTGGAAGCTGTTTAGGCAGTTCAAGTGCGTCCTTGGAGTGAGCTCCTGGGTGAGGGAAGCATTTGGGTTTTGTGTGTGCGTGGCCCTATTCAGAATGCAGCCGTCATGGCAGTCAACTCACCATTTTCTTTTGCTCTCTCTGCCACTGCTCCTTGACCTCTTTTCGTAGTTTGTCCAGCTCATTCTTTCTGGCCAGAAGAGGCTGGAAAGAAGCACATAAGCCCCCCAAAACAGTCAGTCTGCCCTCTTGTTTCCATTATACTACTCGGACAAGTCCCAGTTCAGAAATGCAGCTTTTGCCTTGATGGATTACCCGTATGAATTTGTTGCTTTGGAGTACTGCAGCAGTCTGAAGTACCAGCTGGCTGTATTCAATGTCATTTTTGAAGGCAGCCATGTAGATCTCACAAAAAGGCATAAATTCCTGAAAGGAGAGGGGGAGAGTTTTTAACCGCTAGAAGGCAGAAGCAAAACTGTGATCAGACTACCTGCTTTATCCACTCACCTGCTGACTTGCGAGCGTCTTGGCAGACTCTGCCATTTTGGCGTAACTCTTTGCACACTCGACGTCTGCAAATAGACACACGAACCGGTTTATTTCACGACATCCGCAGCCCTTCTCAACAGGCACACAAACGGTCAATTGCGTGTGCGCATATATTTGCATGCTGCTAAAGCACCGCTGATGTATTCATTTGTGGAGCAAAGTGAAAATGATTTAAGCATTTGTTGATTTAAGCACATAATTATCCCTGCGTCGTGATAAAAGTCTTAATTATTAATCAGTAGATAAGCCATGAATTGCCCAATCACAAATTTGCTGTAGGGCTCAACAAGGTGCTTTGTTTTTCAGCCTGAGACCACTCATTAACCAGCGAGCCGGACAAAAGCCCTCACACGTCACACTTCACTTTGAGCTTGGATAAGAAGGCCGGCTCAGATGATGGAGAACAATTTTGCAAAAGTTTTTGCCCCAATTAATCCACACATTTGTGGCTCTGGCAAGTATAAAGCTGGGTTGTATGAGGTATTTATTTAGTGTCAGTGTATTGCCTGCAGTGGATGGTGGCACGCGGTTTAGAGAAGCGGGCGGGAGCCGCCGCAAATGTACGTCTAGAATATTCTCACTACTTTTCCCTGTATGACAGCGCTGTCTGCAAGGTGCATAAGTAGCTATCGATGCGCTCTTAAAGCCACCAGACATAGGTGGTAGAAAAACAGACATTTTTTCAATATTTTAGATTTTTTCAAAGTGTGTGTATGATTATTGAAAGTTTAAACTAGATGGATGTTATCACATGAACTGAAAGGAAAGGAATTATCTGCGATCTCACAATCACCTTGTACAAACATCAGTCATGACAGCTGCTACTTTGACGTCCCCCCCTCACATGTCAGAATTACTGCGCCCCAAACTCACCCATGCTGAGGCGCTTCTCGACCCAGGCCAGCAGCTCTTTGGTGTACTTGGACCAGGCCTTAGCGTAGAGCAGCGCTGACTCCACCCCGCTGTCCAGCCGCTGCAGCGTCCGGTCCACCTCTTCTGCCCGAACCGGCTGGGACGGCCCTGTGAAAAGCACAGCGACCCCTTCAGGTGTGTTGTGAAATGTGGGCTTAAAATGTGACCGCCAGCGCCTATCACCACTGCTGCATCTGTGTCAGCCAGAGCTCACTTAAGCTCAGTTAGGGCAAGTTCTTTGAGTTCTTACAAGAGATGACACCCAGAAGGATGACACAGAAACACTAGGTCATCGTAAAATTGATTTATTCACCAGGAGAATAAATAGCCCACCAGCTCTTTTGCAAAGCAGCGCCAGTGCACCGAAGCCGTGTGTTACAGAGATCCGTCTTACCTGGCAGATCATCTTTCTCTGGGCCGGATCCTCCAGATTCCACAGAGAGGTTCTCAAAAGACTGAAAAACAGGCAGATTACAAAAAAAAATTGAAAAAAAAAAAAAAAAATCAACAATGGGGAGGATTCATTTCCTACTCAAAGCGTGATACGCTGTGCAAAAACATACTTTAAACAACTCTTATCAGAACCACGATTTCCTCCTGAGAGCTGTTTTGAAACCCACAACAGGAAAACAACAATTCATGGCATCAATTCATCATTTGCAGCTTGACCACTTTGGAAACGTACGTCAGACCGGAGGCGCTCACTTAACCCCTGAACCCTAAACTCTAAACTATTTCGCGTGACAATTTAGGGGCAGTAGGCCACATCCGGGCTTTCATGGAAAAGTAAATTAAATAACAATAAATGTAGGTTTTAAGTAGTAATCGGCCTTTGATTTACGATGCCAAGTCGAGTTGTGATGGGCGAGCAGTGAAAACTTGTACGCCTCACTTGTGGTGGGATAACGTTTGTTTAGGTGCAGATATTGTACTTTTCTTACCCTGCTTCTCTTAGTTAGGGGGAGCCCCAACACCGATCCATTCTCTACATCTCCCATAAGGAAGTCAGACACTCTGAAGGAAAACGGACACACAAATCAATAAACACAGTTGAGAAAGTATGAGATTGAATATAGTGCAACTCAAAAGCCTCTTTATTTAGATCCCCACTACATGCTTAATACTTCTGTAGTTGGTAATGAAAAACCTATGCTTACAAATGTCAGGTTTTAAGTCCTATCCAAAATGACAAGAGGGATATTATTTTAAACTGGAACTATATGCGAGCAAATTGACACAGATTAACAATGCAGCTCGGAATTAAGAGGCAACTAATTCATTTAGAACCTTGCCTTTTATAAAGAATTAAAGCACAGGTTGGCTGCAGTCGGACTAAGAATGCCCACAGAAGTGAAGTACGCCATGAGAATTTAAATCCCACATACTTAGGAAACAATACTTACACATTGCCAAAGGTGAACGCCAATGTGTCAATAGCAGCGTAGATCTCTCCGAAAAGCTTCTGTTTGTTCTCCTCGTTCACCTCCTTAAAATTCACGCCTGTCAAATAGTGAATAAGTGGGTTGAGCAAGTGGCAAACCTGAAGCACGCATTCTGAAGACATCTTGCTGTGTTGCAAGTATAAATCTCATGGTTCATGATGCATCAACCTTTGCATGACGTAAATACACGGATTTATTCAAATATCTTCGCCCCACAAACATGCAGACATTTAAAGAGAGACATCCAAAAACTTCAAATTAGAAAAGATAAGCAAAGACCGCAAGTGTATGTTTATGTTTGTATGTAATCGGGAAAGGCAGTAGCTTCCTGCTGGAAGTCTGAACACGGTAACAACTGAAGACAGAATGGGGGAAAAACACCGGCGTAAATACGTCTGTAATCAGTCTTCACAATAAACTTCCTGTCCTGACTGAGCGGAGAGAAAATAAACGGGGGGAGAGATGCTCAGAAAATGCGCCCAAACACCGAGCAATAAATCAGTGACGTCACTGGCCACTCTGCTGCCTCCTTGATTTCCTCAGCCTTTCCTTTCCATTGGAACAATGGAGATTTCTAGAGTTCAAAACACCCGTTGAATGGAAAACCTGCCGTCTTTAGTGAGCTTAGCTCAAACTTGTTTGGGAAAGTTTCTGCTTTCAGCTGAGAAACATCAAGCTGGGAGAGTCCACCTCCAGCTTATCTGGAATGGTTCAAATATTTAAGGAAGACTGCTCCTAACAGCTTCAGCCCTTACCGACGCCCGTCAAACAGCAAGATGCTTCCTCAAGCATCGAATCCAGGTCAGAAAGACTTTTATGCTGGGCCACAAATGGGAGAAATACCACTCACCCACCTCAAACTTTTCCTCAGCGTTTGTCTTGATTAACAAAAACAAGACGTCTCAATCGTAACACTGACTAACACGGAGGGGATTCTCTGGCCAAGTAGTTTTTTCCTCCAAACGTTCGCTGTTCCTCTGCTGATCCATCAAAAGCAGCAAATCGACTTCAATAAATCCGATGTAAAAAGTGTTGACTCGAGGAGCACAGGAAGGGTCAACATGATGTCGGAAGGGAGCAAAAAACGATCCTAAAAGAGGAGGTCAAGCGTCCGAGGGGCCCCGTTCCAGCTACGGTAACCAGCACCATTCCCAGCACACAACTCTCTTGTGCGGTTTCATGTCCTCCTCTTCTGTCCCGACCCCCTACCCCCAACAGGACATCCTGAGGCCTGCTGGAATACAATGCTCAGGCCCCAGCCAGTGGTCCAAACGTGGAAGTTACATCATCGGGGAAAAATGGTATTGTTTCAGCGGAAAAGCACAACACTCTCGAAAGCGCTCGTCAGCTGCAGAGTCCTACGCAGAGCCGAGGTGCAGGGGGAGCCTCTCCTCCGATGAGGAACAATTGGAGGGTGGATGTGATAAAACTTCCTGTAGTGTTACGGTGCAACTTGGAATGTGATGAGGCAAAAATGCAATACACGGCAAAAAAAAGTCAAGTAGAATCCATTCGTACATGTTTTATCTAAAACATGGCAAGCACATCGGAACCAAACACAACCTGCTGATCAACCGGCCATGAATACTCTTATTTTACGTCATCGCGTTGTGTGACACCCGCAGTACATCTGACATCAGCGTGTCACTGTGTGAGGGTCAAGCAATGAGCGGTTTGGGCCCCCCTGTTGGCGGAAAAGACGTCATGTGCTTCAGTGCACAGAATTATGAAAAGACTACACGTTTACAAGTAGAATAAATACAGCGTTTCCTCTTGGGGGGGACGCAGAGATCAGTGGATAACTGTAAACATGAAGAAAAACAAACAAAAAGACTTTCTTGGCGGGGCGCCTATTGAATGGTAAGGAAAAAAACACCATGATTTATTATTATGACAAATGTGAAGAATCTACAGAACGGCTGCTTAATTAAAAATTCCATTCTCTGATCCATCAACGTGTTTGAATGACACACAAACAGTCGGCTTACTGCACAGCATTGTATGCACGTAATAACAGTTTGCGGCGCACATGCCTGCACACGCCCATGTGTGTGGACCTTTTCCAAATATGTCACTTAAGTTGCGCTTGATTCATTCACGGATCCTCTTCAAGGCTTTGTTCTCTTCAACTTGTCACCATTCCTCGTTGAGCGAAAGCTCTTCAAAAGGCCCCTCTATGCCCTTCTTTGCGATGCAAATTAAGACGAGGTGCACTCAGGGGATTCTTGTGTGGCGGCCAAGTTAGGAATTGACCTGTGGGCCAGATCATAATCTCTGAGAATGAGAGATTGAATGGGATTCCTTGCTGTAGTTCCCTCGGGACTGGCAGACAAAGCACGGCGGACCCCCGCCTCCCCCTGCCTCTTCAGCACTAAGCTTTCTCCCAAATATTATTTTCTTGCTCTCCGTATGGGGTTTGAAACGCATGCTAATACCTTCCGAGCACTTGAGTGACTTCTGAAGGGTTGCATTGCTTTGAATGTAAAAGAAAGATTTTATGGGAGGATCTATTTCAGACAGTGTAATAGTGAACGTCCAGGAGAGAAAACTGCCATGCGAGTAAAAGGGGGGGGGGGGGTTAGATAAGCAGAGACAGAAAACAGACCGAAGGGAGAGTGGAGGAGTGGCTGATGTGTTTTACAGGAGAGTTGGGAGTTATGCGGGTGTTTGGAAGGGAGATCAGCTCTTCACAGCTCACCTTTGACCGTGGCAATGACAGTGCCAGCTGTACTCAGGATGTCCACCGAGTTGAGGCTCTGGTGTTTGCCAATGATGAGCTTCAGGACTCGCAGCAGCTCTCCAAGACGCTCGTGCGCCGCCTGATGGAGGCAGTCCTGGTGCTCTGGAAAGACAGAAAGTGTAACAGTTCACGTATCTTGTAATAAGCACAGTGTGGCTTTCGGTTGACCCTTTAACGCGATGGAATTTTTTGAAGACAGTCCAAACACCGTCAGACTGTGTCAGCTGTCAGCTGTCAGTGAAGCACTGACACCTTACTAACAGCTACTCTATCATCCTCCATTAGCCTGGTTAACCTTTGACCCGTGAGATAAGACATTTCCAGATATGTTATGCTTTAGAACATGAGCCGTAGAGGCCTTTCAATGTACTTCCTCCCGTAATCAGCTCCGTCTTCGGGTGTGATAAATGACGGACTTTCAACGTCAAAGCTCAACTGCGACACATGTGCTATGAAACTTGAGCAGCCCAGCTGTTTAGAACCCTCCGGGTTTACATGGACAGTGCGACCTCTTTGGAAAAAAGGATTACTACAGGACATTCCCGCTCGGTTGGTTGAAAGAGCGTCTGTGGCAGCCATGACGGAGCGCTTCACGGTGCAGACAAGCGGTAGCGACGGCGCAGGGATTGCACACAACTCAGCGAACCCACACAAACAGCGCATAGCTCAAGGTGACATACCGTGCAGCGTCTGCAATTAGCTGCAGGTTAATTACGTAACCAATGGAAAACTGGCAGCTCAGGTATGCGGTTGTTTGGACACAATGTGGCCACTTCAAAAGTGAGTCACCACCATTTACAAAAAGGGACAAAAAGTCCTTGTTTAGCAGTGATAATGTGCTCTTGACATTGTCTGGCAATGAGGTCACGAATGAGGAAAAGGAAACTAGTACCTGCACGATGACTCATGTGTTCTTTTACGTCTTATTAGAGATGTACTGCAGTAGAACGGAGTACTGCAGAGTAGTGTCACAGGGGTCTGACACAGCTAGAATGGCGTTACACTAGATGACTAATACAAGAGGAAACTGGAGACACACAAATTGACAATTTAGGCATTTTGACGCATTTTCTGCTCTTATCTGTAATATCAGTGAACACACAGTAAGCTGCTTAGGAGTTTGTTTGTCATGTTTTAAATATGATTAGCATCATTATGTGTATGAAAGACTGGATTTCTTCAGAAAGTTAGCATTTTACCTTTCCAGTAAACAGGAAAAAAGTACAACAGAAAATACACACGCAGACACACACACACACACTCATAATGGGTACAGGCAGTCAAAGCCACTTTTTGTGCTGACGATCGCCCCTGGATTACCCCTTTATGGAAGAGGGATCAAGACTTTAGCTGCCTCCCATTTAGGCTTTTATTCATTAGCCCTCTTTTTTTTGGAGTGGGACAAATAGTGCCGCCAGTGGGGCTAAAAACGCGGTGTTTGTGTGGCCGCCATGACAATGCTAGCCGAGTGCTGGCCCGGAAATCCAGCCAACTGATCAGCAAGTGACCAGCAGGTGACAAGTTCAAATTTGACCGACATGTCACAACAAAAAGCAAAACAACCAGCGTGCAGGCCAAGTTGAAGGAGAACACCACCGCCCCAAACTGCCAACACGCCGCCGCGCACCATACTGACGCGTATTATGCTTGAATGTTCAAACTTTTCTTTTAGCGCGGTGGCGGGGTGCCTCTTTTTCCTCCCACTGAATGAGACTGTGAATGATAATGCGCCTAATAGCCATATGCGCTGCTGCTTTACGGCGAAGCTCAATGCATTCAGCAGGCCCCCCGTGCAAATCAACAATGGGCCATTTCACATGGAGCCATGAAGCCGGAGTGTTTGAGTACGGTGCAATAACACAAAGAAACAATACTGCAAATTGGCCACATAGTAATTCCAGGTGAATATCAAGCACCTGAAAAAGATCTACACACAAACACTAAAAACATAAGAGGTGCACAAATCCCTGACTGCGACCACATGCCCCATGCCAACGTGCCCAGTTGCCTCCAGCTTGCCAAAAGCTTGAAGACCTGGAGAATCCTATCCTTCACCATAGCGACCAATTTCATCCATCTTCATCAGATGTCATGCACGGGTCCTTCTGGTGCCAAGGATCCGGTGCTTTTTGATGATGAAAACCTCGCATTCTTTTGTTTAAGCTGCCCAACTCCCCACGAGGCAGTAAAGAGGCCAGCGGTGTGCTTCTGGCACAAGCACACATAAAATGCAGACTCAAAACAGCTATACAACCAACGCACATGGGTGTAGGGAGCAGGTCACCTCTCTTGGTTGGTTGCTTGGATTACTATGTACAGATTCAGCCATGGTGGTATGACATGTTCTCTAGTATTCAGCTCCCAAAACAAAAGATTTTGAAAAGTGCTTTCTAAATGTACACTAATTAAATAAATTAAATAAAAACTTAAGTAAAACACATTACAGGACGTCTGCATTTACAGAAAACACACATTAGCAGATTTTTGTTTGGTGGAAAAAAAAAAAAAAAAACTCCCAGGGATTTTATTAAAAATATATTGCAGACAAATTCTTCCTTTAACTTACCATTTTTGTTGTGTTTACTGTAACAGAACCAGTCTTCCCACAGCCCTACGTAGAGACCTGGACCCACAATACTTTGATAAGGGTCAACGGTTACAATGAGCCGCTTCAACCCTTAAGCCCTTAATTGGTCCTGGTCAGTTTAGATCCCATTTATGGACATTATCCTTTCAATGACAAAAACACACAATGGCCTAAATCATCCCTACATAGCCTATACACCCCATTCATTGACCGAGTAACTGAATCCAGAGTCCTGGGGGCATCGGGCCCGGGCAAGCTACAGGTTTATTAGGGACAAGCCCACGAGACACAGAGTCTTCCTTTGCAAAGCTCCATGGGCTCCATGGGCTCCGGTCTTCAATGGCGGCTGTGTGGCCTATTGGAGCATCCTAAATGAAGGCTAATTAGCGAGACATTATGGTTGCGTCGGCCAGCCCAGCAGGATGCAGGCTAATGTACAGAGACTGATGATTTAACCCTTCAACTGCCAGTCTGCACCAGACACAAAGAGAAGAACACTTGTTTCCACCAGGGAGGGACAGTTAGAGGGACATTTGACCGGTGCAATGTTTCAGCAGTGGTATCGCTATGTTAAAGATGGGAAAAAGGGGAGTTTTGAAAAAGAAAAAATAAATGAATGGAAAAATGAGAGAAGCTGTTTTTCAATTGGCAAATCCAGCCATCTGAAATGAGGAAAACAAACAAGCTGCTGGGAAGATTTTTCTGTTTTCCCAGGGGAAGACCACTGAGACTTTTGTATTAGGACTTGTTTAAGTGCCGAAAACTCACTATTGTCCCTGGGGCCACTAGCAAACAGTGGGCTGGTCGCCTCATTGGCCCGCCACATGAAGCATTTATTGAACAATAAATCACAACGGCAGCTTTTCACTTTTCACGGGAAAGAGGGGACTGGAGTGTGTGCGCGTTCCCGTGTGTGCATGTGCGTTTTTGTCAATGCGTGTGATGGTTAGTGGTGGGAGTGATAGGGGAGGAGTTTGGGTAGGGATGGGCGGTGGGAGGGGGCCCGGGGGTATTTGGGGGTAGTACGCTCCCTTGGGATTTGTCCCAATTTTACCCCTGCACCCCACGTCCCTGCTGTAGTGGGGGGTTATGAGAGAACGAGCGGGTGAGAGACATTCCTGGGCATAATAAGCCCTGGTGAATGAAGGCTACAGAGGGATCAGACCTGATGAGAAGGAGGCCGCGGATCAGAAGCTGCCAGTAAGACATTGCCGGGTTTTTACTTCATTAGCGTCATGGAAACCCAACATTCCAGCCTCTTGTTTGGGAATTGGGACGGGAGTTGCAGGAGCGTGGGCCGCAGGGGGATCCATAATGAAAACACTGTCGGATCACTCACCGTCGAGATGACACCTCAATACCAAAACATTCTGATGCTCTTCTTGAGCAGAGACGCATCGACGTTTCAATGTTACGGAGCTGCTCATAAACATAGATAACGCCATAGACTCACAAGGGTTGATTTAGTCTGTGCAGTGTGTGGGGAGACAATGTTGTTGAGCATGAAACCTGGAAACATAGTCAACTTTATCTTTGGTTTGCCGCCCGCCCAAGCACAAGGCTTTCTGCAGGTCCAATATTAACCTGCGTGGTTGATGCGCTGGTCTAGTTTAAGTGGAATCTACTGGTGCAAAGTACCGCGAGGCAAATGTTACACCAGGCCGTACTTGTACGTATACCATCTTTACCAAATGGGCAGTGCACTCGGCTGGGTTTAACATATACATGTGCAGAAGTTTGTTTTTGCACTGGGTGCAGTTTAGCTGAATGCGATTTGTTGATATTTAGGCAAGAACATATGAGACCCAAGCATTTAGTGTAAAAAGCTTTGTAAGTGCAGGCCACCATAAAATAATAACACTATTTTTTGTTATTGGGAAGAAAAATGCCATTGTGTTACTACTTGATGTGCACCATGAGGAAATGTCTCAGTTTGGAAACTAAGCATCTCGGACTTCACAATTCGCAATATGACTTGGCAGCATTCCTTTCGCTGCGGCCCCGACTCTGCTCAGTCGTGCATTGCAAATCATGGGAGCGATGTATTATCTATGCTTCAAAACATTTGAGGGTACGGAGGGGTGCTTATTTTCACAAAGCAAGTGGGAAATCACTAAACATGTCACAACAGGGTCTGCAGAGGTCCGATCAAAGCGGTAATGGCAGAGGGGGCTAGAGAGGACGCTGGGCAGGCTAGCCGTGAGCAATATCCATCAAAGCCTCTCAATGAGTCCCCTTGAGTCAGACCACAGATGGACATTCCGGCTACTCGGCGCTAAATAACCAACAAGGACTCTGTAGTAGTAGTAGTTTCAAAGAAATTGTGCATTGCTCAAAAGCTACGGTATAGATATGTTTCATGGGGCTCCTGTGAAGCTCGCCCCGTTCTCCAAAAGAGATGCAACCACATGTTTCAATGTTTCAATCACCTAGATTCTTACAAATGCTGCATTCTTTTATATTACCCACTCACCAGTACCGCATCTTTAAAAAGGCATTCATGTGGGTTGCGTAA